GAACAAAGGGATGACAGAAGTGGAGCGGTACCGAAGGTCATAGGGCAGAACCTGTGGTACATCCGAAAGGAGGTAAGTGTCAGGGATGGCTCGAGGAAGGCAGAGGTAGCAGCGCAACACTCGGCGCTAGCGGCCCAGACAGCGGCGGGGTGGTGAGACCGTATAGTGGATAGCCCTTACTTGGGCTTACATCCCTGTGTGGCTTCTTAGGCTGAAGCGGGAAATGTATTGTTATTAGGGTGGGAAGCTAGACTAAACTAGGGTACTTGCCTGAAGCGGGAAATGAGAAGAAGGTTACTTCTTCGGTCCTGCTTCGGCTTAGCTTATATACATGTGTGAACGGGTCATGTGGGAGTGCCACGTCACCTTCAGACGAAGCCGGGTTACCGCGGGTGGCTCCGCGGTCGATCCCGAGTGTTGGAGGGGAAGTACAAGTAGGAGTGCGCAGCACGTCCAGCGTGGCGGTGCCCCTACAGGGTGCTCAGCATCAGGCGCGTCCGCACTACAAGTGTAGGAGAGAAAGAGAGAGATCATCTGTATAAAGATAGAAAAAGAGAAGAGGGAAAGAAGAGAGAAAAAGAGGGTGAGACAAAAGGAAAGGAGGTGGCAGCGGCGGCGACAGCGGCGTGCCCTGACAGTAAGGAGGGTGAAGCCCAGAGGGGCAGGAGGATGAGGGGAAGTGGGGATGATGACTAACTGGCTAGAATGGGAAGAAGCAGCAGTCCAAATAGGGATGAGGGGGAAATGCAAAAGATACATTACAAGTGGCGAAAGTGCCAAAGATGATCCATGGAGCTCGGAGGTTGCAGAGCTTATGGAGGTTATGGAGGTGGGGTTGAAAGTCTGAGGAATATTGGCAATGGTGTTTACATAGTATGAGGTCACCAATGCAATGGACTAAAGCTGAGGTGGAGTCAAAGTCCGAGGTAGGAACTACGACGGAGTCTTGGAGCAAAGGTACAAGTGGTGTCCAAGTACAAGGTACAGGACAGCAGCGGAAGGTCGTAACTTGGCGGAAGGTTGGCGGAAGAGGGCCAGAGGGAAGAGGAAAGGGGAAAGGTGTGGAGGAGAGGAAAGGTGTCAGGTCCGAAGGTGAGTATCAGAGCGGACGGGTGAAGGGTAGGAGAATGATGGAAGGGTGGAGGTGTTGTGAGGAGGAAGAGGAGGAGTGGGAGAGGTGTGGTGTTCGGTCCGAGGTGAGTATCAGAGCGGATGGAGATAGGATAGGAGAAGGATGGAGGAGTGGAGGTGGCATGAGGGGTGAGAGGAGGTGTGGTGTCAGGACTGAAGGTGAATATCAGAACGAACAGTGGTAGGGTAGGACTCTGGAGGTGGTGAAGAAGGAGGTCCGGGAGTCGGTTTGGGATCGAGTATGTACGGATATAACACCCTTGCCCAGTTCTAACACAGTTGTCAGAACCGTGCGAATCTTCGCCGATGGTAGCCGTAGGTGACCGAGCATTGCCTGCTAGTGGAACAGGCATCCTACACACGACCGAGCTTTAGCGAGGGATAAACCCCACCGATCTCGAGGCCAAGGCTACTTAGGCGAGTGAGCCGGGATTTCGGCTTCAACAACTCGAGGGGAGCGTTGCGCCTCATTCTCGATGCGGTCCCGATACTTCAGAAGGTCGGAGGTCTTACAGGGGACAGAGGTAAGCTTAGGGGTGAATTTCTAGTTGATTTCGAACTACAGTACAAGCATTAGTTACAAGCTGTATATAAGCACTAGGGAACTGAATAGGGAATAAGTCGCCAGATCTCACGGAGATTGCAGGTGGAGAAAAGAAGGAGGAAAACAAACAAAGAGCACGTGTTCAAGACAGTGAAGGTCAAGCATGACCTTTGCCGCGAGGTAACAAGGTGCGGCGGAACATGGGACAACAGGTCGTGGCGCTCTGCGCCGCTAGGTTGTTCAATGACAATTAGGAGAGGGGTTGTGGAGAGGTGGCAGGAAGTGGTTAGACGGCGACAGGCGGCGAGCAGAGTGTGTGGGGAGTGTTCGGGCATGGGAGAGGGTCAGGGAGGAGGTCATCTGGCCCCAGGGAACGCCGGGTCGTGACACTATTCCCTCATAGACTTTGACTTTCCATAGCCATGCAACTATTTTGCCAGTATAGACAAGTTGACTGAGTGGTCAGTCAATGTCAGCCTTTTGGCAAAGAGGCTCCAGTGCAGTCCTGATCTGGCCCATCTCTGACATGAAACTTAGCAATCCCAGGTAACTTAATTTTCTTTATTTTATGAGCCCAAGATCATCACTCCATGATGAGTTGCACCGATTTTAGAATTTGGGCACAGCCAATATAAATGTCTTGGGGGTCTTTGCATGTGGGGAACTCATATAAGGTGAAAACCGCAAAAACCGGCAGTGTAAGGTATGGTAGGTCATCCCCCTACACTGTGCATTCATTTTTTTTAATCATCTTTATCATTATTCCTCACTCTAAACAACTGTATTTACTTATGTATGGTGCAGGGTCAGGTAAAGGGATTTCACTTTCTACCATCACTGGGTCGGCACCCACACACCAACCTTAAATATCCATTCAACTTTCTATAAATTAAAATACATCTGTTTGTTTGTTGCTACACAAATACAGGGGTCATTTACAATGTCATACACCATGAAATGGCATTTGGTACATGCATTGTAACATTTGACTGAGGCATTGTAAGTCATTGAGATGCATAGCAACGCGTTGCAATGGATATCACGTGATGCAGCGGATCTGTAACTTTTCGGACATTGTTAATGGGGGAGTAAAGGCTAAGGGGCCTTTCCTCCTACCCACACATCTTATATGTATATGTGTATCTACATGATGTAATGCAGCTTAATATTATACAGGTTGTCTATGTTACTGAAGTGCAACTGCAGTCATGCTTGATGTGAAGTATGCAAAGGACAGACAATGTGTGGGTACACATTTTAAGTCCTTACACAGCTATTGCATTGTCCCATTCAATTCCACTATTCTCCCTCATTCCTATTTGGGATGCTGCTTCTTTCTATTCAGTCAGCTAGCCATTCCCAACTCCCATCCTCCCTCCTTCCTCCTTGGGCCTTGGCCCTTCACTCCTCCTTTGGTTGAGTCAAACCCTTGACCCTTGGTGTTGTTCCCCCTTCCAGCTCCCTTTGGTCTACTTCCAGCCTACCCTTGTTCCTTTTGACTCCAGACCTCCTCCTATGTATACAATGTACCTAGTAACTTGTAACCTCAGTCTGAAATGCCCCATAGAGACTCACCCCTTGCTAGATCTGAAATTAAGGACCAACAGGACAACCAGCAATGGCACTGTAAGGGATTAACTATAATTCCGATTACAGTGATATCATTATGTTGCATCGCTATAATTCCCATTATAGTGATGCTATTATTTCTTTATTTATTTGTGCCAAGATATGTAAATTACATATATATACCTTGGAGTAGTTGTAAGCCTTTTACCTCTACCCCATTGAATATACAGCTCATCAAAGCTTATGTTTAGACAGACTAACTGAGGCCTGAGGTGAACAGGGGAACAGAACGTTACCATCCCCAAATAGTAAGCAGAACCCTTCAGGCACAGTGCTCCCCTTGAGTCACTGAGGCCAAGGTCCCTCCTTGATAAGTCTCCAATTCCATTCCAGAATCTGTTGGAATACAAGTCACATGATGAAACTGAACCAGAATATCCGGGAATATTCTAGGGGTTACTAGGCGCCTGCATAAGCACTGGGCATAGAAGAGCCTGGAATATTGTTGAGAAGTATAAATATGGGCACTGGAGCACCATGTGTATTTTAGTTATATTTTCATTCTATATTACATCTGGGTTGCAAGTGAACTGCTGAAGCAGGTTGCCATATTTGGAACACTGCATTTACAACAGAATCATCTGAACTCCCCCATTCTAACAGTTCCACTGGACCACTTTGGATGAAATTGGTATCACTGGAAAGCTGCAATTTAGGAGGTTTTTATTGCTGTAAGGGGGCAAGGGATCTACCACCCTAATGAGAAAGAGAGGGAACCACAGAGTTGGGAGTGCTCAGGGGAGGTTCAGATGATGAGGAAGGAGGGGTGTCAGGGCACACCTACCTGACCCGGCTCTAGTCAAGGACCTGACTGACCCCTCCAATAAGACCCCTCCATTTCCAATTCCATTAAGGAACAGAATTGTATTTAGTTAGACAGAAATGGAAGTTTCTTAAGTGTCAGAGACCAGATTCGAGACGAAGGAATGTCTCCGTAGCGGAGGGCTTCAGCCTCAGCGACTTCTGCCAAGAGCGCTGTGCCTAGTGACACGTCCGTGCCCTAACTTACTGACTGGCAATTAGAACCTAGGGGGGTAACTCTAGTTGATTTTATTACTGGGGTGTAACCTATGTACAAGCAGGATATATATATGGTTACAGCGAAGACAGGTCCGCAATTGGCGGAGCCGGATGGAGCGGAGCTAACAGGGTTAATCATTAGCCGACTGAATATTACCGACGAGTCGGGTCGTGGGGTTAGCGGAAAGGCAGGCGATAACCCAGATATGGAAAGGAGGGATAAGCCCAAAGGTAGGCTCTGCAGGGCAGGCGATTGTATTGCCCAGCGGAGGTGGGGGTGCGCTAGTGGACATCGGAGCTGTCCGGAAGTCTTCGGGGCTCCATACTTAGGGAGGCGTAGGTAATAAGTTGAAATGAGGGGGTGGTGACCATCAAGGGGTGCCGAGAGGGTTGCGGAATACAGGGGCTCCAAGGTTAGTGAAGGAGGAGTGGAGTTGGACCGGAGGGAACGGAGGGACCGGAAGTCGATGGCCAGGGATGGATATGACATTAAGTGATATTGCTGATCTTTGATTCAACACCACGGTCGCTTCCCTTTTTGGGAAATCAGGATCGAGCAATGGCTGAGGATCCCAACAGCCCTAGTATGACACCCATCGGCACACTTGCAATTTCAGATGAAGAGAAGCTACAGTTCCTCACACAGAAACTACAACACACCCAATGTGAGACTGTGGAGTGGATGGTTCAGATAATCAAACACTGGTTTGGATTTTTGCCTCGCGAATGGCAGGCAAAGAATGCTTTCTACTTATATCAAAGTAGAGATATTTTTCTTACATCCAAGACTGGGAGCGGAAAGACACTGCTCATGCTTGCTGCCATTCTTGCTCGGAAGCTCATGTGGAAGCGTAAAATTGCCTTAGTTATTTATCCAACATGGGCACTGATGGATGACCAGGTTGGTACATGAACAGCGCTCTATGCATAAATTCACATCAATACACAATACAGGAAGCCAAAGCCCGTTCAAAGGGGATACAGTTCTTGACAATCCACGATGAATCTCTGACCCAGGCATCACAAGAAGTTCCACCACGCATACTTTGGACCGAGGCCGCATCCGGAAGGTACGACATTGTTGCATGCGCACCAGAGAGGATCCCAACAAAAAATTTCAAAGAGTTACTTGAAACTGTAACATTCCGGAATCAGCTAGGGTTTTGTGTAATTGACGAAGCACATCTTGTCATACCTTGGGGGAATGGATTTCGAGAGTCCTATAAGATGTTAGGAAGGCTGCGCTCCCTTCTCCCTTCCTATGTCACATTCCTGGCCATGTCCGGTTCCTTGCACCCTAAGATGGCATGACCTAAGACACAAGAAATCTTAGGTTTCATACCACCACACTTCAATGATGTGTCGCTCCCAATTGATCGGACTGACCTCATTTATTGTCCACATACCCTAAAGTATCCCATCACTGGCACTGAGTTCCCGGACCTAGCGTGGCTTGTTCCAAACACACTTGCATCTCCCGATGACATACCACGGACCCTTATCACTGTTGGAACTATCGCGATTGCTCAGAACCTAGTAAAATGGTTAAATCAGCAGCTTGGAAGATTTCAAGGAGGAGGGGGAACATCAGTGAGGGTTTACCCCTTTCATTCAATTATCCCACAAGAGGACCAGATCCAAACACTCACTGACCTTGAGTCTGGATTGGTTCAGATCGTTGTTGCAATGACAGCTGGACAGGTAGGATTAGACATGGCAGTGCGTGATGTCATTGTCCTCGACCTACCAGCAGATTTCAAAGCGATCACACAATGGAATGGACGGGCTGGTCGGGATGGACAAGGGGGACGTGCGATCATATATGCTCCTGATGCAGTTTGCATTGAGAATGTTGTGGACTTTGATGGTGACCCTGTAACTGGGAAACAAAAAATGTCGGAGAAAACACTTACAGCTTGGAAGGAGTACCTGTCAGGGCACACACCCTGACTAGCCCGGACCCGCTTCCACCCGCTGTGCTTCCCGCATGCACGCACGCTCCGTGCGCCGCATGCTCCGGGCCCGGTTCCTACTCCTTCATGTGACTTCCGGGTATCCCTGGAAGTTTTCCTGATATGGTGGCCACTGTGGGAAGATGAGAAGTTAGCTTCCTTCTCATCTTCTTACCCACAGTAGGCAAGTGTACCTACTACTTCTTTATCTTATACATCTCCTTACCCACAGTAGGTTGTGCCCTGGATAGGGCTGGTTACACCTCAGGGCTGTGGACCATAGGGGAGGGTCATGGGGACCCAGGAGTCGTCCCCTGACAGTACCGGGATGGGTGTTCTCCAGTGATCATCGAATACTATAACCCAGGGCCAATGAGGTGCTGTCGTGAGGTTGTGTGTGCATACTATGGTGAACCCTGCCAGAAACCGGCAAATTGCTGTGAGGCACCTGGCTGCCACCCTGGACCACCTGTTGATCTTGACAAACTGTCCTCCAAGTATGCTAAAAAATTAGCAAAGACTCGCGGAACAAGATTAGTCCAGTTGGCAAAGGAGAACAATGACTTACCAAAGTATGAGAGGGAAATGATTGGAATCGGGCTCAAATGTTTGATGGAATGGAGGGAGGACTTGTGGGCAAGACGCAGGGGGGAAGCCAAACTCAGTAACCTGGACCCTCCAAATTTTGTCATTACTGACCATGCACTCAACTTACTTGTGTCAGCGATCCACCAAGCAACATCAGAAAGCCATACCTTAGACATCTTGGATCAGTGGATGGATATTTCGGAGCTCGACCTCAGTGCAGAAGAGAAGTCATCTCTCATTCCTGTGGTCAGCATGTGCAATTCATACTGGAATGCAAAGCGCAAACATTCAAGAGCTCGGAAGGAAGCCGAAACGAAGATGCACACTGAAGCACGCAAGCAACCACAGGTACAGGTCGCACCAGAGGATGAACAGAGTGGATTTGAGCCCACGTCGGCTGAAGTGTTGGGTCAGAGGCATGTGGCAGGAAAGCGGCAGATCAGACTCACCACTAAGGCAATTAATGCGGATGTCTATGAAGATGATTAGATCTAGAGTGTAAATAGAAGAGGTATTGGGTCGGACTCACAGCTAAGGTGATCAATGCCAACATTGATGAAGGTATTAGAACCAGAATGTTAAAATAGATGTCAAGTAGCCTAGCTAGGTTTATTGTGATGTCAAGATACGAGTCAACAGTTTCTCTCCCCCCAACGCAAATCCGTCCATACACTTCGTAGTCTGGGAGCAACCAGTGACATAAAGGTGCTGTGACTCCCGGAGATATAACACCCCAAGGCAATTGATGTCTGCCTCGATGTCCACCTGGGTACAGCCTGGATGAACCTTCGCGAGTCCAATCATGCCCATGAAGCTCTGAAGCAAATCTTTGAGGTCAACAATATTAAGTGAAATGGCTTCCCTGAGAAAGCAAGAGTCAAAGGCATTCTTTTGCCCATTGAAAACTCGCTTCAGCCAAAAATTCAAATGTTCTTGAAGTAAGTCCCATTCGTGAAAGTGGCCAGCCAATCCAGATGGATTAACCAGGTAATTGAGCAGGATTGCTGATCATGTTGCTGTGGGGAGGTGCCACCAGAAGTCCCGAGCTTGTTGAAGCAGCTCATTGCCATAATTATTGAACCCGACACCGAAAAAATAGAAACAGAGCCACTGAAGCATCAGATTTTGCTGGATGTTGTCATTCAAAAATTAAAAGGGACTTACGTGAATAACTTCGAAAGTATGACCAATATCCCCATCATGTACACTCGTGTTAAGCTCATAGAGATGCAGCAAATCACGATAAAGGACAATGTTGTTATAAAGTAATGTGTCACCCCGGGATCATTCATCCAAGGGGGGAGGGTCACTGCCAGCCACTGGGGCAGTGTTTCCCATGGGGTTGCAATCATGGGAAGGGTTGATTTTGTCTGGGTCACCGGTGTTGAGAAATGAGATGCCGTCATCAAGCTCAGATGAAGATGGTTGGGGGGGTGTTGAAGGCAATGTGGAAGGAGAAGCTGATGGGTTCCTCGCATATGAGAGTTAAAGAAGGCCCCTCCAACAGTGGAGTCATGGTGCTGAGTGAAAGTCGCGGCTTCTGTTGTGCCATATGTTGTGTATATGTTGTGCACAAGATCTACCAAGTCAGAAAATGAACATTGATAGAGCAGGTAACCTGGCTTGCAATATTCCTGAAGCTCCTCAATGAGGTGCAATCGATTGATACCACCTGACACAACAAGGGGTGTTGTGGCCTTCTCACGCAAAAAACATCTGTCACAGCGATCAATGACTGATAACAAACTGATCGATAAACAGTTGAACAGATTATGTACTTACCTAGCATAATGAAGGGTCGTGGTTGTTAAGACCAATTCAGCTAGCCGGTAGCAGGGGTAAAATTCGACTTTGTCAGGATTGATGTTCCACCCGAGTGCCTCAGCAGCAGTGCACAATCCGACATCCCCCTTGCCTACTTTACATGCCCAGTGAGCCTTAAAAATCCCCTTCAGAAATGCCCACTTAAGATGCCACAGTTCTATCACAGGGAGAACCCATTTATGTGTCGTAAACCAGGAGCGACAGAGTGAGGTCTGTTCAAGTAACGTGCGCAAGCGCGCAACTGTTGCTTGGTCCCCTGACACCGGGAACTGCCTTCCCTCCAATTCATTGCGGCTCAGTCCCAGTTGTCGAATGAAGGCATCCAGCACCACATCACAGTTCCCTTGGGTAGATGCTTCATTGTAGCCAGAACACTCCAGCAGGTGGTACTTGGTCTTCTGCAGCTTCATGTGGCACTTTGCATGTTTCACATATTGGAGATTGTCAACATCGTTTTTGAACTTTTGAAGGTGAGGTATGAACTTGAGGAAAATCCATAGGATATTTGTGATTGCAACATCCTCAAGGTGTAGTGGGTTCACATCGGCCTTCAGTCTCTTGAAGGTGATAGGTTCCTTGCTAGACTCTAACTTTCAGCACTCATACTCCGGTCCGTTGAATGCATTCTTGTGTCCATCAATTTTGCGTTGCACAATGAGGGTCGCAGCTGTTCCACTCTCAAGCCTATTCTGACTGGTAAGATTTGCTCTCCAAGCCCGGTGATATTGATTTATGTTGTCATAGAGGAGATGTATTTGAATTTCCCTGGCCACCAACATATGACCAAGAGCTTTCAGTGTTGCCTTCTTGTCCTGTCCCAGACTGTGAAGCCGTTCGAGAGTGTTGCTGTATGATGTGACAAGGCCCATGCCCCCAAGAGTGGAATGGAGTGACCGATGAGCATTGGTGGTGAAAAGTACATTTCCGAGCACGGTTTGCATCATGTTCGCTTTGATGCAACGGAAGTAGGCCAGTGTCAGGGACAGCTCCGAAAGCGGCGAGGTCCCGGCACGAGGGACTCGGTGGGACGGGTGTCAGCTATGCGTGGCGGCGATCCCATCGTGGGGTGAGCGTCCCCGACCACTTAGGCTGAAGTGGGAAGTTGAGTTATCATTAGAAGGGGAAAGCTATGGTACTTACCTGAAGTGGGAAGTTGAGAAGAAGGCTGCTTCTTCTGTTCCCACCCCAGGCGCTATTATATACAGGCGGTCAGGGTCACGTGGGAGAAGCCACGTCATCTCCGCACACAGCCGTGCCCTCCCGGGTGTCTCCGCGGGAGATCCCGGAGGTGGCCGCTCAGTAGGCGGGAGGGTGTGCGTGGCGCGTGCGGCGATCGGGGGAGTGGGGTTAGGTACATAGTGGTACATGGAGAAAAGGGAAATCGACCGTAGAATAGAAATAGAGAGAAAAGGGAAAAGTGAGAAAGGAGGGACGGGGGGTGATAGCGAGGAAAGCGGGGTAGGCGCGGGGTGCGGTGCGGGGTCAGGCGGGCGTGCCCTGACAGCCAGAACAAGAATGGAGACAGTGCATCCCTAACCAACTAAGGGTTAGAACCTGGTACGTGAATGCATTTTCCCAATACACAAACCAGCCAGGGATCCCGCGCGTTGTTGCTTCCACGACCCCTTGCCCCCTCAATGGCATCTTCACGGACCATTGCCAAGCAGGACACATTTGGTCCAATCGCAAACTCTCGCCAGCAAAGTCTTGACGCTCATAGAAACTCAACACTTGGATTGGATTGGTGCTGACTAGGAGGCCACCAGGGTGGGGATGAGAAGTGAAGGATGGAAGTGGGTGGTATGTTGGTTGGTCCCTCTTCTCCTTGTCACGGCCAAAGTTGTGCTCAACAATGAGCCTGACAATGTCAACAGGTTGTGTTCCTTGTTCGGTGTTGCCCTTGAGAAAACTGTCGACTTTTTGACGTGCACTCAAAAGTAAGGCCTCCTTCCTATTCTGTGAGTCAAAAATGATATAGAGAAACTTCCCCAAGGACAATCTCTCCTGATGCATGATAGCCATTACGAGATTTACGCCACGGAGCTTTTTGCTGCCAGCTGTGTGCACATACTGTGTCATGACCCGGCGTTCCCCAGGGTCAGACGACCTCCTCCCCAACCTTCTCCCATGCCTGAACACTCCCCACACACTCCACTTGCTGCCCATCACCGTCTAACCCCTTCCCGCCACCTCTCCACAACCCCTCTCCTAATTGTCGTTGAATGACCTAGCGGTGCAGAGCACCGCAACCTGTTGTTCCATGTTTCACCACACCTTGTTACCTCACGGCAAAGGTCATGCTTGACCTTCGCTGTCTTGAACACGTGCTCTTTGTTTGTTTTCCTCCTTCTTTTCTCCACCTGCAATCTCCACGAGATCTGGTGACTTATTCCCTATTCAGTTCCCTAGCGCTTATATACAGCTTGTAACTAATGCTTGTACTGTAGTTCGAAATCAACTAGAAATTCACCCCTAAGCTTACCTCTGTCCCCCGTAAGACCTCCGACCTTCTGAAGTATTGGGACCGCGTCGAGAACGAGGTGCAATGCTCCCCCTCGAGTCGTTGAAGCCGAAATCCCGGCTCACTCGCCTAAGTAGCCTCGGCCTCGAGATCAGTGGGGTTTATCCCTCACTAAAGCTCGGTTGTGTGTAGGATGCCTTTACCACTAGCAGGCAACGTTCAGTCGCCTACGGCTACGATCAGCGAAGATTTGCATGGTTCTGACATACTGTTGCTGTGTGGAGCCACAGGTTTTGCATGCCAGGACATAGGTAGGGGTGGAAGGGTGGAATGTGTTGAAAGTAACCACCTCAGCCTAACAGGGCATATGGTGTAATGGCTGTGCACGCTGAGTTCGCGATCCAGAAGACTGGAGTTCGATTCCCAGTATGTCCAACTTTTAGGTTTCCCTAAAAGACCACGTGCAAATTCCAACAGAATGTGTTGACTCCACGGTCACTCAAGTCTATCAGAGGCAGACCAGAGGAAACTTGCTTAGAACCTGAGACACCGGTGACTTCTGGAGCCATTCGCAATGGAGGGGGGTTTATTTCTTAGAATTATCCGAGAATGCGCGAGATTCTATTGCAGGGCATGAAGGATTGTTGAGGTCACTGAGTGGTGAACGTGGTGACCGGAGTTTCTGAGGAGTGTCAGAAGCTGTCTCAAGTTTGCGTTTAGGGGGTCAACCCAATGATGTACCAGGATTGAGTTGCCTCCGAATGCATGGGGTTTGCTGAGGGAGGCCTCCAAATGCATACATTGAGGTCTGGTTATCCATTGTGTATGTAGACTTTTTCCACTGGAGGGGTAAACAAAGCTCAAGAAAGAGAAATACCATTTTAGGAAATGAATTCAATGAAATAAATACTATGGACATATGCATTACGGGAGTTCCCTTTTATATTAGTTATGTAATAACCTGTTCCTTAATGCAATTTGAAATGGAGGGCTCCTATTGAAGGGGTCAGTCAGGTCCCAGCCTCTATCTATAGAGGCTGGTATCCTGCCTAACCCGGCTCCACCTGGCCCCAGCTGTACAGTTGTGGGCATGTGACCCTTTCCTTTATATAGCAACCATGCAGGGAGATGAGACCTTTACCCTTCCTCTCATCTCATGCCCCACATAGGCAAGTGTATATATTCTGTTTAGTGCCAAACATAATCAAATGAGTCAGTGACACAAAGAAAATGACTGCATTAATACTACTAAGGCTATCCACGATAATTTAAATACAGAGGATAAGAACCAATCAAAAGCTTGTTGTCTCAAACATGTAGACTAGCTCAAAGGGCTTCCTGTCGGTGCCTTTTGTTCGATGCAAATCAACATCGATGGAGTGGGGAAAACCATCAATAGACATTTCCAAGTTCCGCATCTGGGAGATGGGGATCACACAACTCCGGGGCATCAGGATCAGGATCTGACAGGCAAGAACCATGATCGAGTTGATGAGCATTCTATTATCACAGCCCCCAAACAGTCTATCAAGTGGACATTGAACTTGGGAAAGGACTTACACTGCAGTGATTGTCTTCGAACCTAGAACGATGAAAGTTTATAACAACATTGCCCTTATCGAGTCCGACTGTATAAGTTTCTGTATTCATACGCCACAGCTAGGCATCCTAAACTCACAAGTCGGGTTTGTGGCATGGGCTGGCCCCGCTCATGAGCAATCACAGCCCTCCTCCGGGCAGATGTTAATGCATCAAGAGGAATAGATGGTTTATCACTGCCCCTCGTAGGCGCAGTCAACTTCTTTCGTACTCTAGACCGCATATGTAAGCTAGCGGAGCACAGGAGGCCCTATTAGTGACGGTGTCCAGAGTCAAGGAAGAATGCTTATGCTTTACTTTGTGAGCATGCATAAGGGATACATGCAACTGAAGGTCTGAAAACATCCGGGAGTTCTTTTAGGAGCCTCAAGAATGCCTGAGAATAGGCTTACGATCCCCATTATGAGAGTAAGATGCGAGAAGCCAGATCTGGCGAACTAAAACATCGTCTGGGTCCAATGCTTTCTACCGGAAGATAATTGCAGCTGTACTTACGGCAACTAGCCCGGTAATAGATTGAACACAGGTTATGCTACCCGTCGCAATAGCCCAGTATATTATTGTGTTGATAGCACTGTCCGTTCTGTTGCAAAGCCGGTCAGTCCTGAGTTGCTGCACTTCAATCATTGATTCACTTTCTAAAACCAGTCTTCCGGTACCATAACAGGGACGTCATCAACACCGCTATTGAAGCGTCACATACCGCCTGGCGGATTTACGTGGAACAGACAGGTCGGAGTGTTGAAATTGAGGACTACATACCTGCATCACTAGCCAAGCTGTAGCTATCCAATCCCACTTCTGGACGATTTCAGCGAAAGTCGACGACATGTCCCTGGCGCCATTGTCAAATCAGATAGTGATGCAATCTGCAGTCATGATAACACGTACGCCTTAGCTTGAAGTGCTAAGAATGAATTGCACGCCAGTAAGGCTTCTGAAATGGACATGGACTCCGAACCCACCTATGCCGAAGGCTGCCGCAAACCAGAGGGTTTCAGTCCATGAATGTGAAAATGCTTATTGGGAACTTACCAAACTGCGCGAGGGAAAAGACTTGCTGTGATTATGAATGGGTCAGCATCGCAGCGAATTCAAGATATGATATCAACGTACCACGGGGGCAGCAGCACAAATACTCGAAGATACTGACGGTAATCTTATGATTAATAAAGGTCAGTAACGCCCAGAAGCACTCACAACTCCAAATTCGATACACAAAAAAAGTCTGCACGGTGACGGATGTCACTGACGCAAAAAGTTGGTAAATGACAAGTTGCCTGAGAAAACCATTGAGCAGGGAAACTCCCATCCTTCAATCATAAAGCGCGTGCACCATTTGCCTTGTTGCAATTCATCGAGGTTGGAGTAATTTTCGATCTGCCACCTCCAATTCACCCTAGTCACCATAATCCTTGAAAGCAAGAACCACAGGCCGTCAAGACGGAGATACTCCGAGGGCGCCAATGCCACATACACTTGGGTTAGGATGAGAAGCCTTCAGCATGAGGCGAAAGTTATCTTCTGGTCGCCTGAAAAGCACCGCAGGGAACGAACCAGAGAAATCCAACCTAACGTCATACCAAACATTTAAGCCTCATCAAACTTGAGTCAACAATCAATGAGGACGTACCGCTCGCCATGTCCATTTACTATCATGAGGGAAACGGCCATAATAAAAGACGACCTGCACAGTGAGTATCCCGAAAAAACTGAAACCGTCGTGTGAGCGTGCAAACGACTCGGATCAGGTCATCGGTTCCATCTGGAAACAGGGTGCTTACACCGCGCAGATGATATTCCCCAGAAGAGCACCACCGAAGAGCTGCTCCACGTGGAAGGGTATGGTTTGGACCATGACGGACGAACGGAGTAAAGAAGTAGACAAGCCACTTGGAGGAGAGAAAGGGAAAGGACTAAATGTTCTCTCGTACTAGGCTGGCTCATATACAACAAGCGTGGCAGAGTTCGATTGCGCGATCGACTACGGCCGTTCCGTCGGAACAAGTCTCCATCCATGCGTTCGAATTAAGTCAACGGGTGTGTACGAACCTGGATTATCCATCAAGGATATAAGGATACAATATATTCGGTCAACTCTGCAACAAAGCTAGGGCATGACTTGAGAGCCATCGCTGGTCCGTGAGAGGGTAAATGGAAGTGGCAGGCAAGGAGGGGAAGAAAGAAGATACTAAGGCAACAAAAAATCAGATAGCAGTGGAGCTGATTTGAAGAGACGACAAGGATGACGTGGACAAAGCTTGGGATGGAGGCTCCACATTCTTGTCGCCAAGTGGATAAATCTCGGACGCCACGCATGTCACAAAATCAGAAGCTGTCTGAGATGCTACTTTAAAAAAAAAACAGCGAGCCATAAAAGGGAGCTTGAATAGAATCTGACGCGAGCCAACCAAGGAGCACAGCAAATTCTAGACCCAAAACTTTAAAATATATGCTTAGTAGGGAGGAATATCCTCATTATCGTATCCTAGAGAACAGGTGGCAAAAAAGCTTGATGCTGTGGCGAAAGCGAGGCAATAAGAGCGAGCTGATCACCGTCATCACAGGGATTGATATCAAGGATTCCTGATTGTTTCCCCATCTCCTAGCCGCATGAAAAACCACCGGGTGCCCGTCCAAACGAGAGAGAGACTGACGAAAGAGTCGCGAACTGCGACTTGCACCTATTCCGTTGCCTCTCAAACCTTCCCCATCTGAGAAACAAGCCGAATGATAGCCACCGAGCACGAATGCCCATTAGGGGAAGACCTTCCGTCTGCTTACAGCGTAGGCCTACTGCTTGCGGACAGGTCATCTGAGAAGAGTGGAGCACCGTGAGAATTACTAATTGGGTCGCAACTTGATGCAACCGTAAACATGATTTTCCTTGCACGTACTATGCAAGTCTCATCCGCCTAGTACAGAGCAATAATGTCCCATCCATCAGAGCACCTAGGCTGCTCACATCCCATTGGTCACGAATGTCTCCGCGCAATGGGGACTGGATTTTGTCCATCAATTTCGAAATACATTTTCGAATTCGACCTACACAACCGCTGGTACTATTATGTTCCCTGGGCACCCAAATGTGTCTTGGTCATATGGACAAAGGATGGAATATCGTGCATGCTAGGGGCTCTTCGGGTCTCCAGAATCGTTGAAAAAATAACTAGACGAATGAGGACAGGCCTTTGTTACCGAGGCGTAGACGCAAGCTCTGGTCGACAACAAGAATTGGCAGACATATAGCGAATCCTGTGGTGCCATGTAACAAGGTGCGTGGTTTACTAGGGAGAGCATGGGTGTGGTTCGTGGAGTGTATGTTGACTACGGCGAGAATTAGGATAAATGGGAAGATGATTGCGACTATGACCAAGAGGGGGGAAATGACGAGCAGCGCGTTTCCCCTGATCATTCGTTGATTCCGTCCATGCCTTATTTTCGCCGTACGTTGAATGGTCTCGTTCCCAGCCTCCACTATTTCGATCGAACATTTTCGGACCCTCCTGTCTGCTAAAATAGATCCTAATTTCACTTCCTGACTGTTGTTGAAGGGCCAAAGAGTGTGATCCAGCATTTGATCAGTTCCCCCGGCCTCTTCATCACAGCGCGGTTCCTTTCACAACCAATACCCGACCATCCCAAAAATTTACTTCAAACACCACAGGGGAAAGTAAAATGAAAACGGAACCCTCGCGAGCGAACAAGTGATTGGACGAATGGGAAAAGCAGAGGGGAAAGTACAATAGCTTGCATGAATAAACGCGCTCAGATTGGCATCCCGATCGAGGGGATGACATCAATAATGATCCGGCAATTAAATGCGAAGATGCATCCTGAGGGAAGGGTTTACATATGTGAACCTTTGACTTTTGATCCATATCGGTCTTCTAGGGTGCCATAAATTCCCATAGCGACCTAAACTCTTTGGTGGATGAGACTTCCACGATAGATATACCAAAATATCGATTGTAAGGTGCTACAACTACAACGAAGTGGGAATAGCTAGATGCGATATCTGGTAATGGTTTTCGTGGGATAAGCTAATAGTACATTCCAGTCGTTACTCAATTACGTATCACCTTGAGCGCCCCTCTGTTCCCATCGAGGTATGCATTGATATTATCGACGGTGTCTCCCCAGAAGATCTATGACAAAAAAGGATAATTGAACAACCAATACTTGCTGCATGATAGATGGAAATGAGAAAAATGTCTTTGTCTACCCACCGAATAAAGGTTCTCATCCACATATCCGACGTGTGGGGTCAAAGTGACCCTCCTATCCTTCGCCAACGCCCTCAACTCGTGGTCAAGCGGCAGGGGTTCGGTGTCAAATACGTCGAGTCCTACACCAGCAAAGATCCCTTCCTTAATGGCCCGAATGAGATCAGCTTCTTTAATGAGTGGACCTCGAGAGGTGTTGATGAGAAAGGCGGTGGGTTTCATCAAGGAGAGGGTGGAGTAGTCTATCAATCCGACGGAACCTGAATGCACGGAATCAGTGCAAAAACAGCAAAAGCAAGTGAGTGCAATAAAGGGAGAAGTGAGACTGTCCAGACGTACTCGATGAAAGCACAATATGAATTGAGATCACGTCAGAGGTCTTGAAAAGTTCTTCCTTGGTGGGGATAAATTTGACACCTTCGGCATCGCAGCGTTCTTGGGTCAAGTTCGGCGACCAAGCTTGAACTTCCATTCCAAAGGCTTTTCCAAACTTGATTAAAAGATAAGATAAGAAGATGTAAGATCGCCGCATTGAAAACAAAGATGAAAATATAGGCACATACATTCGCCGTGAGTTTCCCTAGATTGCCAAGGCCGACAATGCCGAGCTTCTTCTCACGGAGAGAGGTAGGAACGACGCTCTGCCAGGATGGAGCCCCGTTCACTGTGTTAACGTGTTCGTGAGCGAGACCTCGGACAGTCGCCAAAAGCAACGCCCAACTGATTATTCGAGGAAGTAGGCCATCAGAGTCATTTCTGGGGAACAACAATGGAGCAGACTCAACGTATGTTCTGCAGTTCCTTTTCCATGATACCCCGTCCCCACAACAGTCTTACCGTGATCAGAGGCAGCCTGTACATCGATGCTGGCATTCTTCGGCGCAGTTGTGGTCAATAGTTTCAATTTCGGTAACCTCTCCAAAAGCTGCCGAGGGAATTTGGTTCTCTCGCGCATCGTGACGATGATCTCGTATTTCTCAAGACGATTCACGAGTTTGTCAATATCGGAAATTTGAATGGTGGTGTCAAAGAGATCAACACTGGCTCGAGGAAGAATGGCCGACCAGTCTGCGAACTTCAAAGCGACGTGTTGATAGTCGTCAAGGACGGCGATCTGGGTCAGGCCATTGCCAACGTGCGCGTATGGGTCGAGATGGGACATGTTGCTGATAGTGCCGAGAAATTTGGCTGATGATTTAATCCGAGACTGCGTTTGGGTAAGGCCGGTAAGATCCTTAGCATCTCTCTTGAGTCTGACTCTTTATACCGCGAGGGAGTGGAAGCACCGCAAAAATGATAATCATAAATGCCCCATGTACAAATCGGCCGCAGTAAATCGGGTCGCATAAAATAGATCAAGTGACCTGGCGTCGCAAAAAATCCATAATTTCTACCGTGTCCTAGACAGGACGACATGCTTCGTTCTACCCTGCCAGGAGACGCATCGCATGGCCCCCTTACTCTCTGAGCGACATTCCTGCCACTCGAATCAGGCTGTGGATGAGAGCAACTTGCGTAAGCTACGGCCGTAAAAGACAATGCGACGTGATCGGATTATCAAAGACTTCTAGAATTTAGTTTTTGTCATCATCGCTTCGAAGAAGCCTTTATCATTCGGTCCTTTACTAATCACATTTTCACTGAGGCACCTGCATGTTGCGCTTTGGATTTGAACACTTGTCGAATTTTGGTCGCTTGATTCTTCCAACTGACGCTTCGGCTCGGATTATTAATGTGAAAGGTAGCCCGGCGTCACCGCCATAATTAACAAGACACGCCGCGCTAGGTGGCTCGAATAATCTTATTTTCTACGAAAGTCGACTCTGATCAGTCCTCTCATCCCGACGCAGCCACAGTTTCTCCTTGGCTGCTCCTTCAATGGGAGACAAATGTTCCTCGCGCCTTGCGGAAATTTCTATGTCACGCGCGGCTTCTCGGGCCCGCCATCCCGATGATGGAGATTTGCTTGTTCTATAGGCTCCCCGCCCGATCGTTTAGAAAGTTCGAATAGATTCTCACTTTGTTGATACTCTCACATCCATGTTCGCCTTGACATCACGCCAGTGGTGGACGGGGACCATTACAACACCATGCTATTCGAATGTGAAAAGACACCACGAGTCCATTACCAGCTTGATTCACCGTAGAATCCCCAGTTCATTCTCACCGATTATGAAGTTGTTATGTGTGGACTGAAGCTATGAACCCTCCTTGCGACTCTTATCAGTTCACTGCCGAGAAAGCCCTCCGCTTGGGTACACGTTGATGCCGCACGCTTTCCTGCTGCTCGGGGGTGAACTGCAGTCGCTTTCGCCTGCACAGCATTCGCCTGATCCGCAGCTCATGGTGGATTTCTACCCTTGTTCTCGTGCCCCTTGATGCTGCCTATGGCACTCTTCCACGGAAGGCCAAGGATCTAGACTGGTTCATTTCGTTCATGCCGGTCGGCGCAGCTGGTTTATGGCCGGACCTCTATCAGTCTTGTGATCAAACATAAATCGAAAAGCGAGACTAAATCAAAAGGATATTAGAGGAGAGATGTCCCCCCCCCAAAAAAAAAACAGCCCTCGGGATTCCCGCGCTGTGCCCTGCTTCGCAGATCGGACGGGATGCGGTGCTTTCGGGACCCTGTTCCCGTGAATATCCGCGATCCAAACCAAGGTCCCAAGAAAAATTCACGAACCAGATTGTCAATGAGCAATTTTTTCGATATAATCATGGAAAGCGTTCATGGTGCCTCCGGAGACTAGCGGAAATGCACACACCACCGTCACACCAGACCACACATCATAACTCCAATAGAGAGCTGGGCCTTGCCTACATCCTGCGAGCCATTTGTGTGCGCTGCGCCGTCACACCACTCCAACTCGTATGGGAGGATTCAACCGGGAATGCTACCCTTCAATCTAAAATCCCTGCTGCTAGCACCAACCAACAACCCAATCAGGCCTTGGGGCCGAGTCCATCCTTGTTGGACCGTGCTCCAGACAGATAGGTCATATCGCGATATTTCAATTGTCACAATATCGGATTCACCGGGGTTCAGCAAGGAACGAGCAAATCCTCTGAGTACGGATGGCGGCGATTCAGAGGATACTGGAAACTCAAGATAGAGCTGGGAGACCTGAGAGTATGTACGATTAATCAAAACAGGTGGACAATCGAGGCTGCAGAACTTGCCTCTGCACCATACCGATCACCAATGTTAGTAATGTTGTATGCGACACGGAATGCTGGTCGGTGCAGCCTGGAAAGAACGTATATTGATGAGAATATAGGGGGTTGGGGCGCACGCGGCGTACCAAGGAGCGAGCGAGCCACCAACTTCATGTTGCTTCACATGCACACTACCTTCGGCCCATTGCTTCTCCAGATTGCCTTCGTCGCCATGGATTGACTCGAATATCCTCAAATCAGAGTATTCGAACGTAGTGTAACTCAGACCAAATCCAAACTCATAACGAGGTGTAATGTTGTTTGAGTCGAACCAACGATAGTCAATGAGAAGTCTTGGAAAGTGTCAGTTACGAGCGCATGCCCCAAGGACAAACTCACTTCTCATTGTAAGGCACTTGCTTAATTGCTACAAATGTAATCAGAGGGGAGTCAGCGTCCAAATTCCAACACTCACTGTTAGGATCTGAGTCTGTGATGATACCTCCGCTGTAGTCACCCGGGTTCTTTGCAATAGTATACGGAAGCTTCCCAGAGGGGTTCCATTCTCCGTACAGAATGGCCTTAAGCGCATTACCTAAACACTAGATGTGAGAGTTGCACAATCCAAAGGGGTTACAACCATGGACTCACCGCTTTCCTGTCCTGGCAAGCCTGCCCAAAGGACACCCGTGACATTGGTATGATTGATCCACGGTTCCAAAATGAGTGGCCCGACGCTGTGAATGACCACTATGGTATTCGAGTTGTTTCCAGCGACCGTAAGAACAAGATCATCGCCTCCGTGCCATGCCGTCAGATTCTTCCTATCTCCTTCATTTCCATCTACGGTGGCATAGCCTGCAGCCAGGCGTTTAGATTCAACAAGTTCTGTCGTAGGAACCCGCAAGAAATGTGCACCTTCTCCAGAATCTGAATTTAGAAACACTATCGCGACATCTTGGTATTGTGCCACACTCCCAGCAGTACCGAGGTCCCAGTCATCCAAGAGCCAAGAAATCGTTGTGCCATCTCTCCGGGCTCGTTTTTGGAGAGCCTCGAGGGGGATATCAGGTACGGAAAACGAGCTGTTCCAGAGCCCCTACATACAATGACAATCAGAGGGAGAACATTTCTTTATCGGATGAAGCACGCGCCATCCCATCGCTAACGTGCCAGATACACCGGTTTGATCTGGATAACCGTTAGGTCCATTGAAAGGGGGACCAGCATCAGAACCAAACAGGGCTATAGTGCTTGGTTTCTTTAGAGGGAGAGATTTGTTGACGTTCTTGAGTAGGACATGCGAACTGGCGGCGACGAGGTATGTGATTCTAAGTGTTGGAATGACACTTTGCACCCTATCGGTTCATCAATGACCCAAGCTTACTGTTGATGGTCCGGTTTTTGGACGTTGACATGCTGGTTGTAGCCAGAATTGGGAAGAAATGCGTCGAAGTTAGTGGGCGGGAAGTCTTGGTCTTGCCCGAGTAGATACCATGCTGCTAATATTCGAGTCGCCATATCCTATAAAGTTAGTCCATCACTGAGGATGGGATAAATCAAATGAAATGAAGCAATGTCCTACATCGACGCGAAGCTCAGATATAGTCCCGTTATTTCTAGAAAAAAAAAATCTGGTAAAATCTTGGGGACCCCACATACAACTTACACAGAGTCTGTCAAGTTTTGTCTAGAATACCTGGATTCATTCAAGTGTTAAACCGATAATGATAACCCCTCAGTCATAGGACTTACGAAGTGCCACTATCAAAACTGGGGAAGGAAAATCAGGCCTACGCCAATTTACGGAATGGATAGAACATCGGAACGACATACGTGATATCGCCCGGCATTGTCATCTAGGTATTGCTTTGCGATCAGCGCGAGTCATTTCCCATAGGGCAGCAGAGTTCATTTACGTCTAGACCTGCCTCAGCGGCAAGAATTGACCTCGCTGCCCCCCAGTCACTCACGATGAACCTGCCCCCAAGTGAGACACCCCCGCGCTACTAGAGAGGCAACTCAAACCATGGCCATACTCACCCTTGAAATCCTATTTGGTGCTTGAGGATATCATTCATCGTCTTGTCGTTCTCACACGCATACGTTCCATTCACCAAGTCTGTCTATTCATCAGTGGAAGGGCCACATCACCCACACCAAAAAAAAAACTCTGTTGCTCACTATAGCTGCACATCACACTCGCCACATCCGCCATCACACTTCTCAAGAAGGGATGTGCATAAACTTCATGTATTGTGCGATCATCGATGTTCGAGCTCTCCATGGTCCGGTTATGCTCCTGTTCGTTCCCAATGTAGTGCTTAGCACAGGCTTGGACGCCAGTAGATTGGATACCAAGAATGGTGTACTGTGCAGCCTCGCCTGCAAGATAAGGGTCCACGCCACTATAACTCGGAAATACGAAGTTCAGCTGGTGTAACAAAATCAAGCCTGAATACCTACAAGCCTTCCCAGTTGCGGCCCCCAGCGGCGTTCCGACCAAGATTCCTTGGAAAGCAGAAAAACGATTGGTTCTGACTCTATGAGCACATCGACGCCACTCACATCATTGGACCAAGTTGAACATGCACACCCTTCCCTCGAAATTCCTCACCTATACACACCGAAATTGGTCTACCACGGCCAAAACGAAAACTGCACCCACCCATTGCTCGGCCTCGGTGAAAGACAAAATCGCGATTCCAGGTGGCTGCTACATTAATCCCCGCTGGGAACGCTGTGACATGGTCTGCGAATCGCACACCGAGAGGGCTATCCTATAGGCAAACGCAAAAAAAATCAGTGCCCGGAACTGCTGAACAACACCATGCTCACATTAAGACAAAGACCAGGGAATCCAAAGCTCGGTATCATCTTTGAAATCTAATGAACAACGTTTCCTGCTTGCCAGCACGAAACGCTTACCGGTGTATTCCCTACACAATGCCCACGCTTCCAACCTATTTGTTTCCCCTTTAGTACCAGATCTCCATAGTCATATCCGCATTACCCACCAACGCCCATCGTCAGGTTTACTTTCTCCTCCAATGTCAAGCCTTTCACGATATTTCTTGCTCTTGCTACTGGCTCAGCCCAGCGGCCAGCACCGCGGACCCGCGGAGAATGCGTTGAATTGCGTGGCCCGGGGGTTATCCTGAGTGTTCTGGGGGTAGATGTGAGCATCGCTGAACAAGTTGTTTCTAGAGAGCACATACCCTGCCTCAGGAAATTTTCTCGCCGTCTTTCTCGGAGACGTTGTGCATTTCGGAGATCCAGAACCCGGGATAACTGCACCATTTCCAACTAGGGATTCTGCAGCTGTCCTGGAATGACTGACATGCTCGCGTCGATCAAGTATCACGCATAGTGGAGACTGCCATATTATACCTTGCACCCGCATGACCGAAGGTGCTTATTGTGTCCGCGCACGATAGGCTTGAGTTTGAAGACCTCACACCCGAATGAAGTCCACGCGCTAGAGACCCGACAAGCCACAAGAACCACACTGCAGCACATCTTGCACGGTGCATGACAGTACACTAGGATCCAGAGTGGCCAGCTAAAATACTCCAAACTAGGGTATATAGGCATGCGCCTTGTTGCTGATTTACTTATCTCGTGGTCAGTTCGCGCCGTGCACACGTGGGAAAGAACTGTCAAAGCCGGATTGTTCCAAATACAGTAATGGCACCAGCATTGTATTTCTAAACCATCCACATGTACCTATCTCGTTATGGCTCGATACTCGTGTGTTAGGCAAAATGGGTGAGGACTACTAATAATCATTTCTAGTTATCTGTACGGTATTTATAAGCAACAGTGGAATACGTGAAATGACAGCTACTGAATCAACGTGGGTCAAATAATATGCTAAATAAAATCAAAATCATGTACCCAATGAGCGTCGGGCGCTGTCATGGCTTGTCCATCCAACAACCTAAACCCGCTATGTTCTCAGGCCCAATTGTACCATACGATTCATAGGCTAAATATCGTCCAATGGCCACAATTGCTCACGAGAACCCAAAAAAATAGACTCATTACTGTAATATTCTAATCTATTGGCCCATCGCTCGTTTTGTGCATGAAATCCCAATACAGAACCCACCACGCTGGACTGGGCCTAACATGATGCATAAAATATCGCGCGAGGTCGAAGTTGATGAGTGAATATATCAAGGAACGCCAACGAGGCAGGAATATGCGGGTGTGCACATTGCTTCTATCTAATGTTACGAAGTCATAGAGGCTGGAGTCCTGCCTACACATTGCTATCACTCGAGAAAGAAAACCTCTTGTACTTTACAGTCACCACTATAATACAGGGTGTGTCAGGCATAATGGTACGAGCGCAAGAACGAAGTTGCAGTGGTGAGAATAACTTGTTAGCTGACGATGTAGAGATTCTGCGGTGTGCGATAGCACTAGATTGGCCTGGTACTGCAGCACTCCCAAAGGCGCGTTCACCCTATCAATACGGTCACTAATATGTACATCACTGATCTTTTCCTAACCCAAATTTACCGTATCTTCCTATTCGTCCCACTCCCAAGAAATTTTCAGATCATCCATCCCACTGCATATCCCCACCCTTATCTCTACGTCGCCTCTTCCTCTAAAGAGCCATTCAGTTTTTTCCAAGTTATCCTCCCAGCCAAGATCGCCTCCAAGAGCTCCGTGTCCGAGTACATATCTCTCATAAATCTCACGTAGTTGTCCCTCTGTTCCAGGCTCAGCCCACACCTTCTCCTCAAATCCTCATCCATGCAAACATTCGTAATTGCGTTCACAATGGCCTCTGAAAGCCTCTCCAAGTTCACACCCTCTGACCTGCCTCCTGTCGTCACTGACCCAATCAGCAAACCAGTAAACCATATCTCGTAAACGGCAAACCCACCGCTTTCCATCCCACTCCCCTCAGACCTACTACGTACTCTTGGACAAGCTGGCATCACTAGAGCCTTTTCTTAGTCTTGACTCCTTTTCCTTTTTCGTTGGAACTTGTTTAGACAGCCAGCGTTAAGTCCTGTCCAATGCGCTGCACGGGAACCAATATTGGGTGGTCAAATCCACACGTGAGCTGAGTACTTGTTGGTGGATGAAGTTGTTGAAGATGTGTAAAGAATCACAGCGGACCTGTGTTTGCGGCAATCGCCGTGCTGAACCCGATCAGTGATTGGTGCGATCATTGATGTTCAAGCTCTCCATAGTTCGATTGTGTGCAGACAGAGCGATCGGGCCAGCCATAACAACACAGAGCGATTTCTCTCTCTACCCCTCTTTTTTGGAAAGGAATTGTGTAAATGGTGGAGCACGAAATGTGCAACTTACAGCTTGTAATTTAGAAGTCGACTTTCATCATCAATTCTGGTTCCCCAGCCGTCAATATGCTTCGATGAACTCGGCACTGTCCGAGAAATGCTCCATTCTGGGCGACTTCTGAGCATGCATTGTGTTCCATGGATATTACTTAGACGAAAAATCTAGAGCTATTCGAGTAGGTGATACAGTGCGGGTTTTGAAGAGAGAACGGCATATGTATATTAAAGGGTATTAAGGTCCAAGGTACATCTTCAAGTTGCATGTTTATTCGCGAGCTCGGGCAGGAAGCCATCATCTGGTCTGTCATGTCGTAATCCAATGTATGTAGCACCAAACAGGAGTACGAATGATACCTCCATCCCCGACTAGGAGTCACTTCGTGCAATGACCTAGGCAATCACGCCTTGCCAGGATTTTATTTTGTTGACGTTTGTGGTTACGTAAGCCCCCGATCATGCTCCAGCCCAGGTTTCGAGCTGGGCACCTCACGCCTTGGAGCATCAATCAACGCGTACCACGCCGGACGTTTCTCCCGTTCACTTCCACAGACCCTCAGAGGATTAAGGTCGTGAAGGATCTCCCGTGAGTTCAATAACTTTTGTTTGCCCAATATGCTAACCGATTCTGGTCCGGGGTGTGTATACTGAGGTATACGCAAAAGCAACTATACGATGTTGTGTCGGATGTGAATTCTTATCACCGTTTTGTTCCATACTGTACTGGGTCAAGAGTGGTTTCTAAACCACGTCAGGACGCGAAATCGAAGCATGACGAACCATATTTGATGGAGATGACGGTTGTATTTCTGAGCGTTCGACAGACGTATGTAAGTGAGGTATGGTTTAAACCATTTGAAAGTGTTCAGGTGTGTACTCCTTGCACCCACCCGAGCGAGCTAGATTAACGCGAGGAATGACTTCCGCAACAACCGTTACTTAGGCTGTGGCTGCTAGTGGAAACTCTGTCTTCAAATCCTTGCAGAGCATCTGGACCTTTCAGCCTCTTATTCCATCGGCAACATCGTCTTCTACAACGTCAAAGGCAATGACCTCACCCCCCTCGCTCGTTCCCAACGAGGTGAATCCGGTTTCTACATTCTTAACTATCCATGTTATACTGACTTGTACTTCTCACATTGGTTGCAAGTCCCCTCAAACACGCGTCTCCCTCGAAGTCATCTTCCATTTCCAGAATCCATTACATGCCGCCCTCAGTAGAGCCTTTACGGACCAGGTATCACACCCGATGATTGCAGCTTTTGAAGAACGATGTAAAGTCATCTACGGAACCCCTTCAAGCCAGACCCTCCCTCGGTCCACGTAACGTGCATTTTGAATTGGGTGGTAGCAACACCCCGTTTTGGAGGAGGCATGTTTATTTTCTTTACGTATTGAAAATTATCACTAATTGTTCTTCGCTCGCTAGGTACTGCATTCGGACGTTGATCCTTATTGGCATTGTGAGGTTGCGGCGGCACTTTCCGCCAAACCGTCGACCTTCCCACCAAATTGGTAATGCCTCTTTCTCCCGTTGTGCCAAGGTTCTTTCTACCATCACGCACCTTTATTACACTGTCGCGGGGATTCTTCCCCCTCTTCTTTTGTCCGCCGTGAGCACGCGTCATTGGCCAGCCACCGAACAAAACAAATTTCAACAGATTAGTGTAGGTAACTAATGTACAAGGGTCTCACCGGCTACAGCGCAAAGAGAAGTACTGAGGGGGAAGAAATGAAAAAATGTTAATTAGAAACGTTTCCACGCACTGGCTATTGGACTCGCACATGTCTCGATGACCAGTAACCTATGTTGAGAACGCGAGCGTGCCCTTCTCTTAGAACGCCGATTTCGACCGAGATGCACCGCGAATTCGAAGGGACCATCGCCTTATCTCTGTTTGTAGATGAGTCTTCTGTTAGTGCATAATTCGGGGGAATTGGCTCTGTAAGTTCAAACGCCGATTTTGAGATCGAGAGGCACCAAAGCGACGATGTAGACATTGAGCAGTTCACCCTCTTGAAGTCCATGTTACCAGGTCGGGATATATAGACCTGGAGAGATCTGTTTGGGCTGCTTCTGGTTTACGCATGGGTGTGGTATGACGAGCCAGACATGTATGTGCATGTGGTAGCCCATGCGTGCATGGACTATATATAGCTTGATCATCACTGCTTGACTATTTTTGTTTGTCCGCATCTAAATCTTGCAAGCGACTCCATCCATCGAAGCTCAACGAGACAATGGCTTAGAATTAAGTCTCTCCCATTTTAATTTTCCCTCATTCTGAAGTGGATCTTGCCTCCTGTTTGAAACTGAGCTTTCGGCATGACGATGGTGACAGTGCCATTGAGTGTGGCGTCCCTTCCCCACCTTGCATGTTCACCCAGTTCACGAGCAAGTGTACGTTAGTGCTAAAATTATAAGGGGAACGTTTGCTTCTTTCCTCGGCTCAATCTCAAGTCGTAGTTTCATCAAGTCTGTCTATTGACACACGCGATATCGCTAGGTGCCAACTGCATGCTGAGATTGAATATCGCTCGGACAGGGCGCGACGCCACTAAGTTTCCGATACCTCGAGCGCGAACGCCCACGGGTACCCGAACACTGTGGAGGGAACATCAGACGCAGGTTCTCACTTTCAGCCGCTCGGCATCACCGATGGCTTCCGCCTCTAGGTTGCCCATTTTTAACTTCCTGCGGGTCTCGCTGTAATTGGGGATTTCGAAGGCAATCAACGAATAATGAATTTGACCAACTCCGCTTACAAACTACAACTGGTGAAGGGCGTCTTCAGTGAAGTCACGTGCCAAGGATCGGTGAATATTCAGGGACTGAATTCCAACGCCCAAAGACTAGTCCTTCGACCCAATCTTCCCTCCGTTGTCGCCCATAATGACTGGTATTCCGCGCCGCAGTGACCACATACCATGAATACTGATGGACATACAAGATATCCTTCAGGGTCCCAGTGCAACACAGTGGGGAGAGTCCGACCTATCGCATTCACCCATGATGTCGTCAGACGAACAACAATACCAACCCACCAAACCAGAGCCTCGATCACCAAGAATTAACAACTCTCCGTTGTCCGGTGATGTTGTTCAGAGCCGACAACCTGTCTATCCATATATTCCAGCCGATCGAACTCACCCCTCTGACGCATTCACGGGTTACTCTGAACCTGTCCCACCTGGATCACCAAACGTCACCATTCATGGATTATACTCCAAAACCCAATTCGACACGCTCTCAATCCTTTCCAGAGTTTACACTCGCCCAAATCCAAAAATTGAACTAGGGCCAGTGGACGATTCCGTTAGCTTTGTCGTGGTCGACGCAACTCGAGATGACTTTCCAGTTGTATATTGTTCTCAGAATTTCCACCGGCTGACTGGGTACAGAAGAGAAGAAATTGTTGGGAGAAATTGCGTGAGGCTTTTTCGCTTGACAATGTTTACCGCGGCCACCGGTCTTACTGTTTGTCGTTCTACTCATCTTTTAGCGGTTCTTACAATATCCACCTCCTGACGCACCGGGTGGCCAACTTGGCCATTCAAGACATCGAAGCCCAGCCGTCGAGGCTTTCAAGCGCTCTCTGATGCTTGGTCAGGAATGTCAAGCCTCGTTAGTAAATTATCGTGAGTTCTGATCCATCACCTTCACGTTCTAGGCATGACTGATTGTTTTTTGATCTTCCACACTCGTAGGGAGAGATGGAGAAGCTTTCTTAAACCTCATCTCTGTTGTTCCAATTCGGTGGAAGGAGAATGGCGAACAAAAAGAATACTACGTAGGTTTCCAAGTGGACGTGCGTAAGATTCTCTAGGCTCTAGCCAATCCCAAATCTGCATGCTTATTCATATCTTTGTCCCATTCCAGCTCAACGAGGTGCTGGGTCAAGATACCCCTGACGATGTAACTGCAATTGATGCTGAAGCCGAGCGCGGTCCTGGAGATGAAGAATGGGCCGAAACGTGATGAAACGACCATCTCGGCACATTTCACCTTCTCCAACTTTCATATCGGCTCATGTCATATGCGTCCGTGCACTATGTAAATGCAAGACTTTTCAGGGGTCGTTGTGAAAAGGTAGCATTATAGTATTAAAAGGAATCTGCATGTTGTACAATGTTGGAGGGTAATCACATCAGCAAAAATGAAATGACGTAGGCGAGAAGTGTCCATCATGAGCAAGCTTATGCAGTCTCATTCGTGCTTACAATTTGGTAGGCGTTGGATCGCGGTCCTCGCCCAACGAGACCAGGGATATAACGGCTGGCGAGATCTTTGATCTTACCTTGGTGGGAACCCGTGTCATCGAACCTATCCTCTTCATCCTCGACGCGTCTTCGCCTCTCCATTGCTTTCTTAAATCCTTCTGGCGGGACATCATATAACTTCTCATACTCGACACCGATTTCCTTTCCCTTGGTCCAAAAATCCATGCAGTTTGATATTATCCCAGCATCAAAAGGATTGGGAGCTTTTCCAGCCCTAGCAAGACCATTGGCAGCTTTGCCCCTGGTGAAACGATCAAATCCAAGAACGTTGAGGAGGAAATTCCAACACCCGGCACCTCCATGGCTGTGACGGTGACCATGACCATGGGCATGAGCATGCAGGTGGCCAGGGCCAAGATCGTCTTCTTCATTTGCCTCGTCAGCGTCCAAGTTCTGATAGCGATGTCCTTGCTGCATGAACAAGCTGGATCCTCGGCCACCCATATACCCGTAACGGCCCAAATTGGAGACTTCATATGTAGTCATCTGTCGCGCAATTTGGAAGAGTTGACCGGCGACCAAGACGACCGTCCATATAAGCTGTAGGCTTGCCCATGATACTACTGCTAAAACGAACGCAGCGTCGGATGATTCGGAGATGGAGCAAACTACAGGCCACGAGACGCAGACACTGTCGGAGGCTATGGGATTTGTGGGCGCGGGGAGTTGGTTAAAGTCTACCACAACGAATCAGTAGGCCTCAAAGGAGAGACGGCCTATACGCACAAGACCAGGCAAGCATGTCGAAACAAATGACACCAACCACAAGTGTTGTAATAAAAACAACGAACTGTCGGTGATTATTAACTCCCACTGTTTCGGACATTGAATATAAGTAGGCCGCATCTATGGAACGAGACATCGACATACCGCAATTCCATACCCACGGGCAGTGACTGGCAGTAGGACGTGCGTTCTAGCATGCATGGGGCAATAGTGCATAATTTACTCACTGGTCGAATCGCGCTGTGCAGCGGTTGCAGGCTCGACAATGCTTGGATCGCAATGGTTTTTGCGCCTAACGGTAATGTTCGGATGGCTGAACGTGCAAATGCGAATAAAATTACCAACCATACAGTCCACGCAGAACGTCATACCATTGAGCCGACCAGTGCTGGCTAATTCCTCAATGATCTAGGGAAGATATAAGCTAGGATCCATTGTAAGATCTTATAGTAGCGTACGGTGCGCAGTTCCGACTCGCTGGAGGGCTTTGGAGCACGGCCAGGGTCGAGAGTGACAGCTCGGAAGAAATTGTATGAGCAAAGAAGGAAACAAATAGCGAACGCGAGATGTAGGAAAGCTTGGCCTTCGGCATCTGAAATGACAATTGAAGGTTAAAACCCAATCCGCTGAATTAGCCAGGTCCTCTTACAAGGGGCTAGCCTCGTGAGCCACACCTCCCCAACCCATATCAAGCTGCCAGTGATGATAGATGCAAAGTAAGGACTTTGAACTAGCGAGTCAGTATAGGTTTTCATTTCCAGTATCACCCGCGCAACAATCTAAGGAACGATAGATGGAATTAGGAATTGTTCGGGCGACTGACTGCGATCACTCACATGGTGCATTCCGAAGAATTCTGCTGCCGCTAAAGGTACGCCGGTGTACCATGGTAGTAGAGAAATAGTCTTGAACTCCATGTAAAGAAATATTGTTGGAATTATGAAGATGGAAAGTTTCGTGTTCCGCTGTTGTGAAGATTAGCGGACATGTGTCAGCTGGTTAAAGAGACCATCCACATACCTCATTTAACAATCTGGACTTCTTCCTCCCATCCGCGTCAAATCCGGCTTCCTCCAGGGCCTTCCTGTATGCCCCGATGCTTTTAAGCTCCAAGGCCATATCTCTGGCTGTCTTCCCTTGATCGTCCTTGGCATCAAGCTTTGCTCCAGCCTCAATGAGCTTTTTTATACACCACCGGTTCCCTCGCACAACGGCCCAGTGAAGAGGTGTCATTCCAGCATGATCTTTGGCATCAACACTGGCACCGCTCTTGAGTAGAATATCGATCGAGATACCGTCCGCCTGATATGCTGCCCACATGAGAGCCGTGTGGCCCTGCACATCACCACTGTCAACCGCGATAGGCTGTTGAAGAATATAGAGCAATGCCATAACACTCGATGAATGAGTCACAATATGAAGCGTGTTGTACCCTTGCGAGTCCATCAGAGTGGGATCAGCATTGTGTGCAATCAGCAATTGGATAATGTAAAGCAAGCCGTTTCTAGGGAAAACACAGTCAAATTTAATTCGTCCTCCTTAAGCATAATTAAAAAGTACCTGGCAGCCCATTGCATTGGTGTGGCAACTAGATCACCGCCAACTGCGTCGACTTCAGCGCCTTGGTCAAGGAGAAATTGGCAGGCCGGCCGATGTGCATTTATTGCCGTCCAGTGCAAAGGGGTAATTTGATTCTCATCACGGTCCGTAGCTTTGGCTTTCCCAGAGTTAATGAAACGGGCAAGGAGTTCGACGTCCCCGCTTTGTGCTGCGGTGAAGATAGTCTACCAATAATTTGTGGCATACATGCCAAAATTCCGAGGTGTCAGTTTCTTCCGTGAAGAAAAAGGATAAACACCAGTAAGGCGTACCTCTTGTTCTGGGTTGGTCGGCGCTGCAGTCGCAGGAGCTGCGGAGGCTAACGAGGCCTCAACGGTTTCAGACGTTAAGGCAGTGTCCGCAACGGAAGCACTACTCAGGGGGAGCACTTTGAGCTCAGTTTCAGACATAGTGCACCAGTATCTCCGCCCGCTGCACTGAAGACCCGGGTGAAAAGATGGCAACTGGTCCTTGTGGAGTCGCAAGTGCTGGCTAATTTACTTCCGAACAGACCGTGAGAAAATGACGGGGATTTGCTTTCTTATTAGGATTCACAGCAAGCAAGCCACTTGCAAAATTATACACAACATAACCACCTCAACCGCGCGGTCTCGCAATTCTCCCTATCCCACCCATTACTTTCTCGACGACCCGACATGTCAAGCTGGTCCGCGATGTTCTTTCCAGTGTCCCTCTGCCTTCTACAGCAGAGGAATACATAGACGATCCCAGGAGCCCGTAATTTGCAATCGCGAATGTGTTCGATTCTTTGGTGTTTGATTCGTCTGACCCAGAAAGAGCCGCAGCGTCGGGAGGCTGGAAAGAATCGCTGGTGATGTCGTCAATTCCATGCAGGTGATTCGTATATAGCTCAGAAGTGGTGACGACGAGGCTCCGAGGCTCCAATAACAAGGTCAGAACAGGCTGTGGGTCAATTGATCGTCCACTTGAGGTCGCATCTTGGAATGAAATGCAGGCATCTACAGAATGAACGGATCCGTCGGAATGAGTGGAGCAGTCTGGTCGATAGCGGTAGTAGTTCATGACAGTATGGGATCCCAATGAGATGGTTGCTACGACTGGGTAGTAGGAGGGACCATCCTCATGAGGCTATAGATTAGCATCAGAAACTGGTTCATGAAACCTCAGCGTCACTGACCGTTATCCCGATACCTGCAGGGTACTGACCGGGGACTAGGTCAGAAACATCGGCGCTTTGGGGGGTAACCATCGTACCTCATTTAGGATGACATGATTGGGTGCTTTCTCGACACATGGTGCCCGGTCAAAAACCCCAGTGTTCTTGAGTCGTGTGAGAAGATAAGGGCTTCCTCGCACACAAGAAGTGGGAGTGAGCCCCCTTTTCTAGAGGCCTGAGAGTCCAATACTCAACTAATCTCTCAGAAATGAGGGCATGGGTTCGGGCAACAGCGCATCCGACTTAAGATCAATATTACCACCTTCATAAAACCCCAAATGTTAAAGCGTGAGCCAATAGCCGCACGTTTCCAATCCATCAAAAGCGACGAACCCCAAACCTGTAAGCTGTTACAGGATAAACGATAATTTGTCATTTAACATCATGGTGTTCATACCGTCTATGTGAGACTTCCCTCCATTTAGGTCTTGGAGTTTCCGATATCTTTCGTCGTTATGGCCATGCTACTTAGGATCTCCAATCGTAAACAGATATGCTCTCGTTGAGCTCACCTTCCTCAAGAGATACTCCTCTTCTTCCGCAGAAATAAAGTTGGGCACATAGTATGCGGCATTAACGCTACAAGGGACTCTGTGTTCCTCGATTGCCTTCATAAGCCCTTCAGCCATTCCGCTTTATACTTAAACAGCGGCGTAACGCAGGACGTAGGCCGCTAAAGAGGGGTTGGTCACCTGCCTAGGACGTAGGTGTTCCCTAGGAATGTATATGTCAGTTCTGGTGGCTGTACGAGTGTGTCTGAATGACGAAGCGACCACTCGTCGACTATGCGAGTTCGTCGGAAGATGAAACGGGGACAGGAAAGGGAATCAGTGCCACCACTGGGGACTCCCCTGAGGCTAGACAGCTAAAGAAACAGTTGGTTCTTTCGCTCGTTTCGTCGAAGCCTCATTCATTGCTCTCACTGACAGGAAACGTCTACCTCCCTTGTCAGATGCTGTCTCCCCGCCTCGTAAGCAAATGAATGGGTGGTAGTGCGATTTCTACACATGTCTGAGTAGTTTTTAGCGCCCTTACCCGATCCCGCTGCCCACCAAGGACGAATACGGGCTCAGCCCCATGTCGAGGGCCAATGGGCTGCTCATGTCTACGTCCCAATTCCGCTTTCAGGCTGCCCCTTGAACCTGCGTAAATTGCTCCACAGACTGTCAAAAGAGGCGCTCACTGGAGTCCCCGAGCTGTACCCATTTCTCGAATTTGATGGCATGCGTCTTTCGTCTGAGAAACAGGAAGAGCTTCACATCTCCCTTTCACGTCCCATATTCCTTCGCGCACACCAAAGAGAAGGATTGAAGAAAGCTGTCAAGCGAGTTGCTCACTCTTCAAAGCGGTTGGTTGCTTCGATTTTAAAGGACTTGCTTCCTGAGATGGCTCTGAAGGTTCCAGGCGTCGTTCTCGCGTTTGACGGTTTTCCGCAACGATGAAGGGACACGAACATTCTTAAGTATCGAAGTTGGGGCAGGCTATGACCAGGCAAGCACTTGGGGTAACCAATATTTGCTCGATTGGATTGACGATTCATAATTAATGCCAGTTCCGAGGACTGGCTGACGGCCTGACTAACATCCTCGCCTATATTCGACAGAAGGAATACTACACTACTCCAAGATTTCACGCATCCATTGCATGGGCTCTACTTTCGGGTGCGCCACCCTATCAGCCAATCGATGTCTCGGGGACAAGCCCTGGCGATAAAATAACACAGGATAACTTAGATCGTCTTCACGCACCAGACATTCAACGTGGATCTCCCCTAGAGGAGGCCTCTGCAACAGCCAGGCCGTTCCCGTCCGTTTCCTGTATACCAAACAGCTTTATTGATAGACTGGAGCGGGAGTTCGGTGATGAATTGCGACGTGTAGGGAGGCTGGATATTGATCGGGTGTCTGTGAAGATAGGGAAGGAAGTCTTCACATGGGGGCTGCGGGATTAAATTGTACTCGTCCGAAACCAGCATACATATGCACCCAAGACTTAGTTTAGTCCTGCGGTTTCTACATATTGGGGTACCCCGTGTTCAGTCTTTAGCTTGAACTCCGAGGAGTGTGCTACGATCGAAGCGGCTCCCGTCGCTCTCTCCCATGTTTTCTGACCTCATTCGCTGGCTGCGGACTGACGGCTTGACGTCGTATTGACATCACGTCGGACGCAAATCTTGCCCACTCGCGTCCCCCTCCATCGTGCTTAAGCCTCGCTCTCACCGTTTGGGACCACTGCCAGTCCAAGTGGTAGGCCCCCCATCCGTCCTTCCAGGTTACATTGCCTTCACTCGCTTCACATCAGTCAGTGGCTTCAACCTACTGGACGGCCGTCTCAGCCAAGAATCACTCTCATCTGGGGCGCTGCGGACTTTAGCCTCTGGACGTTATTCTGATGTATGGCGTTCCAGCAGTGGAATACAGTGTCCTGTCCGTCGGCCCTCACCCTCATTGTGAATCACCACTTCCAGGAGACTGCTCAGCAATGCCCATTCGACACTTTCGCTGGCCTTAGCTGCCTTTGGTTTGTGAGTTTTTCACATTCGGCATCGTACTGTGTCAAACATGTGAGGATGACTGGTGCTGCACCACCGACGTTCAACAAATGTAACGGAATCTGCAACTTTGTTTATACTGAGTGCTGATAACCCCGAGTCCAATACGCGTCCCCCACGTCCTTCCCCAAGGATGTAGACTTTGTAATTAATATTCTCATTTGAGATGTTTCCGATCACCTTCTGGAGCGAACTACCTGAAAGAGCTTTTAGTGCTAGAAGAATCGTACAAAGAGTTGAATGCGACAGAACAGATGGCAATACGTAAGAGTTTCCAGTATAGATACCCATGTCAGCCACAATAAACAATCGCACAATTTCAATCATGCTCAGCGATAATATGAACGGCTCCAACGTATTGCTTCAATGCTGCAGAATCCTTCATGATGAAATTGTAGGTGACCTCCAGAGTTTCCAATCCCCTACTCCGCGTGTAAAGGCGTCGCACCAAAGTCCGGAGTTGCGAAACCTCGTTTCTATCATCCCCATCATTCAAATCAGTAACTGGTGTCCGTAAAACCAAGTGCCTTAATCCCAGAAAAGCACTCGACTCGCGGGGTTTAGTCTCCCTTAGAAGCAGGCTTAGGAAGTGGGTGATGGTGCGGATTTGGCCAAATCCAAGTTCATTGAGCGATTGGTTCGCTATTGCTGACAACCCCACCAATGGATGCAGCATGTGTTCATCACGTCGGAAGATCGGGGACCGAGAACGCACAAATCCATCCAGCCATAGGTATGACCTCGCTCTTAACTAAACTTGTAGATTCATCATAAGATTCAATCCGAAGGGTGCGTATTTCGCATGCTTTGATCTGCTCCAAAAGGTGCGCCACTATGAGGAGATCATGAAACAAAACGTGAAATTCTCGGAGATCAGGGAGATGGACTGGGGCCATGTCCATGTCCGGTCCCGGGAATGCAGGTTCAAAAGTACCACAATGCATATGGAAAGTGTGCAGCTGTGGACAATCACTGTCATCATGATGACATCGTCCATGAAGCCGTCTTTCGAAACCAAAGACTGGACATTCATGACCTGCTCCAAAAAAGTGTACCTTAGGATTACTCCCGAGAGATGAAGTTCGGTGGGGTGAGGAAACTTCTTCGTGTCTCTCAGTATGGACCTCCCTAACAGGTTGACAGCGGCCAGGATCGAGACTGGAGGCTATTTCTTATCGCTAGCTGCACCCATACTGACTGAGTGACCTGGCTCTCCAATTGCATAGAGAGACACGTCACTCGCGTGGCGAATTCTTCGCTGGCGATCCATAATGGAATCGCATCAACCGAACTACCAGACAAGTGTGGCCTACGAAGGGTGACTTGTATTTTCGTGGCCTCGAAAGCCTGAAGTAGGCTCGAGAGCGTTGGGGACTTTGCAGGTCCACTTCGATACTCCGGAGAGGAGAGAATCAGCGATTTCCACGAGGAGCAAACCAGCAATAGATCCTCCGGAAGCACCCGGTTATCATCAGCAAAGACCCTTGAAAGGATATTGCGTAGGATTTCGGGTGGGAGGGAAAATATGGGAGTCAGAATATTTTGGAGGGTGCTGTGACGGCGCACCATCTTCTTTTTGAACTCCTGGAACTTTTGCGCAATAGTGCCCATACGAGCGATTGGTTTATCCATTAGATGCAGATGATCCTTTGTGTGTGTGCTCTATCATCTTGGCGCGCTCGGATAGAGGGTGCTGAAGAAGAGGCATAGCATCGACGACACTCGCAGACATTTAGTGCGTCTAGGAGCGTGTCCACCTCATTGATCATAGCGGGAAGGTCAGATATCCCACGTGAAGGCTCGATTTCGAGCTCGTGGTGCTAATTCGTGCAAACACGGAGGTCTCCGAGCTCGAACGCCAACTTCCAAAAGTGTTCCTTTATTTGTTTGTTTCGAGACAACTGTCCAAGCTGTGGCAAACTTAAATCCGCTGGTCACCTGCCTACTTAAATCCAGCTAAAAATGTCTTCAATCCTTCCCAGTGGGCGCGCTATAACGAGGAAGGCTGCATTCGACACTTGGGATGCCTCGATCACCAAGGTTTCTGACATCGTTGCAGAGTTTGAATGTCACAGTGATGTGCTTCACCCTTTGTGCACACCAGAGCATACATTGGACGGTGACTTAAGCCAGAAACTATCCCCTTCACACCCTGGGATGTCATTGGAGGAAGCTTGTGAGTATGTCTCAGCCGTTCATCCGCTCGCGATAGACATGCCTCATGCCACAGACCGTCACCTCGACGAGAAGATGGTGGAACTAGAGAAAATAGAGGTGCGAATCGCCTGCGTTGAGCTTCTTTCGCATTATTCACTATAATCTTTGTCTCCAGCAACGCATGATGCGTGCACGACGTGAGCTGTTAGGGCTTCGTAATAGCTCCTTGCACCTTGTTCCCGGTAATATTCTTCGTTCCACTTTCCCAATATATAAATTGACTTATAGCATAGCAAACAAACTGCTACCTGAAATTCTATCTTACATATTTCTTCTTGGCGTTGAACAAGCCGAATATGACCTGGACATGGCGGAATCCGACTCCGAGAGTGAGGAAGGAGAACCAGCCTTGGACCCAATCCCATTTAATCTCCTCGTATCGCAAGTGTGCAGACGATGGAGGACAATTGCTATCAATACGGCTACTTTGGTGAGTCCGATTCGGTGCATATCTCGCCCAAATTTGTCCGCTGACTCGCTACAGTGGACTCATATCGACTTTTCTGATCATCCGCCTCACAACCTGACACGACTCTTTCTTGCACGATCCAAAGGAGCTATTCTGGGCGTCAACCTTACTCTGACTGACATCGACGACCTAGAGAGTGAGGCACACATCACCGAGGGAATGGACATCCTCGGCGAGCATGTCTCAAAAATCGGTTCTCTTACTGTCGATGCAGCTACAGACATGCAGCTTGATCTCCTCCTTACGGCATTTCTGCAGAGATGTGAGCCGCAGCCAGGGACTCATGATCAGACTCGGGCAGCTCTGCGGAAGCTGAAGTTGGTAGACGTCTCCGGCTCAGGGTATGCTTTAACGCCAAACATATCTCGGGAACGTCTTCCCTTCGTGTTTCAGACCCTGCGAGGCCTAGATGATGTCACATTGGAGGGGACATCGCTGCCTTGGCACAGTCCGGCGTTCGAAGGACTGAAGCGATTACACCTAGTGGGATTGGGAACCGATGCCCTGCCATTTGAGGATGAGTTTGTCAACATTATCCAGAATTGTCCTTTATTGGAAAAGCTGAAGCTCGAAGAGGCAGGCCTCACCCTTGAAAATAGTTCTGACATCGTTAAAATGCGGCGCCAAACGCATCCAATTGACCTTCATCGACTCGATTCATTACATCTTTCTACGTTGTCATGGAATGAGATGGAGTTCATTCTCCACCTCATCAATGCTCCAAACTTGAAAAGCCTGTGGATTGATACGCCCACGGAGAGCGTGAATCCGGATGGTACTATTGTCGACGAGGGACAGGAGATTGAAGGTCTTTTCCGAGACGAACATGTGCTGAAAACCGTTGCGGTATTCATCAACCGCTCTCAAGCAGACACCTTTGAGAGCTCCTCTTTGCACACCCTACACATCGAATCCTTTGACACCACTATAACAGCTGACGACGATACAAACCCACATTTAATGGAAGTGTTGAAGGCTGTCCCTAATCTTAACACCCTCGAGCTTTGTGAGATTGCGGTCGGAGATGTTGTTTTGGAATCTCTTTCTGCCGTTACACCAACTCCATCTGTGCCAGGCTCCCCATCAAAACCCCCTTCCAAGGCGCCTTCAATGTCTACATCGATATCTAGTATCGTCAGCGAGCAAATCCCGTCACCTTCCATCTACCCCCCTCCAACATCGTTTGCGCAGTATGAATTCGATGAAGATGATGACGATGACGAGGATTGGGCTGACGAAGATACGATGGAGGTTGACCATGATAGTTCCACCCCCCACCAAGATCACACCCCGAGTCCGCGCCCGAAGAAAATCATCCCAATTTGTCCGTCACTCCAAGTTCTCAAGCTTGAGTTGATTCACGACATTACCCGAGAAGCTTTGAGGGTTGGTAAGAGCCTAGGTCTTAATCTGTTGGTTCCTTAACCTCACGCTTCCTCAGTGCTAGCCAACCGAAATAACCGGGGTATGCCTTTGATATTGAAACTGAGCGATATGTTTGGGGAGGTTCTCGAAGAGCTTCAAGTGGAATTCGAACCACTTTGCCGCTGTGAGCCTAGTTTGATCATTATTCCATCCCTTACACTCATGCCTCGACATAGCCTTATCTATCCAACATGATGGAAATATCTACTAAGTTACCACTGCACCGATGCATAATTCCTCTACCACATCTAACCATAGATGGACTTCCTAAGACACAACCGATTTTGCAAACAATGTTACAAAACATACACTTCCGTACACGCCTAATACCAAAAGAGAATACATTGCATTTGGGTTCGAACCTATTTTCTGCAATACGACTTTTAACACATGGAGAATGAAATCGAGAACCCTCTGACACAATCTACAGTTTAGGGGACAGATGGTCTCTTTGGCGCGATCCTTTGCTCGATGGCTTGTATCCAAAGCGCCACGTATTTCGAGTATATCCTGCAGAGGAGGAAATTCTAGGGAGAATAGTAAGCTGGAGCATAACTAACAGCGGCGAAGGAAATAACGTACGCCACCCATATACCAGAAACTGAAGGAGACTTAAGATTCATTACGGTGACACGAAAACAAAGTCACTCACCCCGGACAACCTGAATACTTCCATATGCCGTTGAACTCCCCAGTGGGGTCCAATCCCCACACAGTCCCAGTTTGGTCAGCGACATGGCTCCCGAATATCTTGCGACAGGACTCTCGCATGGATTTGTAACCTTGGAAGGAATATGATCAGTCAGATTTCCTCATGAGTTATTTTTCGACGTACCAGTGGCAAGGACGACAACGTCTGCTTTAACTAGACTTCCATCTGCGAATCTAACGCCCTCTCCTTCGAATTGTTGCACTTCTTGGCCTTGTTTGATCTTCACTTTTCTATCAATAATCAAGGACGAGCAGCCAACATCGATGTAATAGCCCTGTACACCCATGATGTTAGCTACTGGTGCAACACGCTATCACCAAATATACTCACGCCCCCTTTGCGAAAATACAAGTAAAACAATCCAGGACTGTCTTTGCCGTCTATCTTGAAGCCGGCACGTTCGAGACCATCATTGAGGTCTTTATCTTCCTCCTGGACCATCGCGTGGAGGGCGGTCGAATAAGGTTCGAAGAAGTTCCAAGGGAGTGAAACCAGAGACAGATCCGCTTCCTAAATATGTGGTCACGCCGAATCCGCATCGCTACGCACGATAGGCTGTACCTCAATTGGCAAACCTCCTTCCCTGTATCCTGCAGACTCAAGAAGCTTTGGGATACCAGCCTCACTAGAAACTACAAGGGTCCCTGAACGTTGAACAATCGTCACTTCCGCAGCGCCATTGTTGTAAAATTCATGTGCAATGTCGTGCCCTCGAGTAATTCAAACAGATCAGAAGCGTATAGTTGTTTAAATGGAAAATAATCACCAGAATTGCCGGAGCCAATAACGACGGCCTTCTTTCCTCGCCATTGAGCCCCACCTTCGTGAACGCTCGAATGGCGGATGCTGCCCTTAAAGGTTTCTTCGCCTTCGAAACGCGGTATGCTTGGCTCTCCTCTAGTCATCGAATCATTAATTATCACCGATGCACCTTATGCATAATTACCCACGAATGGCCGGTTGCCTGAACAATGTGCTTGCACTTCAGTTGACGAACGGAACCGTCACCTTTCCGTATGGAGATTGTCCAAGTTTCCGTAGCTTCATCGTATGACGTAGAATTGGGCTCCACAGTCGACTTCAGCCACTAACATGAAATATGGGCTCGCTGTTCACGCTACCACCAAAGAACGCAACGACATACCACGTTGAGCTCCATGATACTCGCATAAGATTCGAACCAGTTGGCTATCCTGATTATTCATGTGAATGTAAAGATAAAGAGCTGGCCAGGGGGGTTGCTGGACAAAAGGCTTACTTGTCCTTGGGGATAAACACTGGCCAATCATCGGGGAACGCAAGATACGGGAACGCATCACCGTAAATCGTGTCGTGAAGCACGAGGGAGTGGTACCTCTTTCTCCATGAATCCCCCAGACGTTCTTCTTTGTCAATCAACAAAGTCAAAATCCCCAAACGTCTCAACCTGGCAGCAAGCATGAGACCTGCATGTCCCGCACCAACAATAAGCACAGTTGGATTGGGGGTTGGGGAATTAGGGCTGAATGAGGATATGAGCCCGCGCTCATCTAGCCAATTGAGGGGTGAGCGTTCCGGTCCACGCTGCACTCCACGTGGGCGGTTTGGGCCCGCAAGAGGGGTGTGATTTTTGAACTGATGAAGCGTGAGCGACAATGTTAACAGGCGGTAATTCCCTGTGTTTGGATCTGACTGAATTCTAGCAACGCCTTCTCCGAGAGCAATGTCCGTTTCAAACACGAAAAAACCCCTGGTTTACGGGAACAATTGGATTGGTGCCCGTAGGAATGATCGGATGTACGGCTTACTGGATCCAGTTTACCCCTTCATTGAAGAGGGGCAAAGTTTTCTTGGGATCAACTTTGATCGAGCGTGGGACGATATTAGGAAGTCCTCCGTGAGTCTGAAAGAACTTGTCCAGAGAATCCTTGGAGATGGACGCATACCCCCAATGAGAGATTAGAACACTTGGACAGCCATGTTAACTATGATTTTGCCTGTGATATAGCCACATCTTACTCTCTGAAGTACCCAGCTGGGAGGAACAGATCGACGAAGTCAGGAACGTTGCGTGACTCGAAAGATTTTGCCAATTCAGTCAGGAAGGACTCGAAGATTGAGGCATGGGTCGGTGCGCTAGTCATCTTGATGCAAGCAAGGATACGCGGAGAAACGAAACGTTGGGGGATGCAATGGCACACTTCTCAGGTGCTATATAGCGAAAGCAAACTTTCCCCACACAGCAATCGCAGACGAAGGGTTGGGACCCAGATTACCAGAATCATGCAAGACCAATGATACGATCGATCAACTTCGGACGGGCCGTAGTTGTATTGACGTTTCCACGATACCGCGGCCACGGCAAGTGCCCCTATTCAAGGAACGGGCCTGCAGCTGTTGTGTCTTAAGTTGTCACCAATTCCCTTCGCGTTCTGACTGACACCAGTACGTAGAAATGAGTGACTCGCTAGTGCGCATATGGTCAGAGGCAGTAAACAATCCTTCATATTGACTCGATTAACACCGAAGTCAGGGTTGTGCGGGGAAATGCTTTTATACACTGTCGAGAGTTTCCCTAGTATACCCTAGTGTGGGGGTTAGGGAAACCCTGTTGGTTTTCAGCCAGCCATTTTCCCCTCAAGAGTCAAAATTCCCCACGAATCTCGGTGGCTGTGTCAATATATTTCGTTCTGGCGAACGTGCGCCGATTAAGTAGTATTCCGCATCCGTCGGCTCGCAAGTGCTCGCCAAGAGTCCAGTGCGTTTGGTACAGCGTCCTACGCAATGCCCCCCGTCCAACCAGTGCAAGATGAAGCTGGGTCGAATCAGTCAGTTACACGACCTTTTGAAGATGCGGACATGAAGGAAACACGACTACTTCTGGGCATGAGCGCCATGGAACCACTTCAAGTTGCCAACTTTCAGGGTGAGGTAATCTTTGGATTCCTTACTATCCTTGGAACCTAGAACTCGTTCTTTTCCATATAGCATATACCCACCCACTGATAATTGCACTTTGGGTTGCATTGTCGAGCGCCTTCGTTCAGGTAGCTGGATTTTGGCCGAAGCCCGAGTATGGATGGTATGGATATTTAGCGCCAATACCCGCAATTGCAGCTATGGGATACCCTATTTTGTTTGTTATTGATTGGTGCGTGCAAGAGCCATAACCCCTAATGGTACGTTGATTAAGACTTTTTGTAATAGGATTCAGCGCTGGAACTTTGAAAAAGCCTTGCGACGGCTCCTACTCTCGGAAGACATACTTGATATCAAGTCCTACTACGATAAACCATCCCTATTCCGAGTGCTCATATGGAATGGTCGTCCAATCGGCTATGTCGCACTTGACGCTGCATATCCAGACGAAGTCTTGACCAACCTCGTCGATGAAGAGGAGAAGTTGGGCTCAACGTCATCTACTGATCCTAAACCAACCCCAGCTCGAGAGAAAGCGGCAGAGATATTGAAGGAGAGGAACGCTCAACGCAAAAAGCGCAAGAACAATGATCCAGCCACCCACGCTGTAATTCGTCATCTTTACGTCGACAGCGTGTACCATAGAAGCGGGATACAACATGAACTCGTCCGAAGAGCTGTCAATGAAGTATTCGGCCACACCAGCCCAAAGCAACAAAAGAGTAGTACGGTCCAGGAGGTGTTCGTGCGAATTTCGTCATTGGAGAAGGAAAAGGCAAAGGTGCTGCACGAAGCAGGTTTCGTTCCAACCAAAGACCGAAAGGTCGATGTGGGATCCGAGCCAGTGTCCACGCGTGCACCCTTATGGGGCCTGGGCTTGACACTCACTGGAAGAGCGTTAGTTGGGGAAAAAATTGAATGGTGGGTTCTAACAAGGGAGCGATGGAACAAGATCGCGTCGTAAAGCAGCGATAATGCATGTAATAACCTTCCCCTGTTGTCATTTGGAATGCAGAAATTAGGGACGCAATGGCAATCGTAGCCCTGCAGTGACTGAAGAGGGCTTGGTGTCCAACTAGCTCCTCCAAGGCCATAGGTTCCGTAGAAATCCCCTGGTCCTCTCGGTTGTTTGGGGAACTTGCGCGCCGCCTTTGATGGGATCCAAAGCAAATCGTCGTTTATACTCAGCAGGGGTCTCGACGGATAGCCCCTTCGCCCACATTCCCCGACGAGCAGCCCTAGACAAAGCGTTAATGATGCAAATTTGTTTCAAATTGCCTCTCACTTGGCATCCGCCTCGGCCTTGAGGAACCCTTCCTTGCCGATGGTACCGTATTCAGCCCCCGACTGCAGATAAGCAGTTGCCCACCCGGCACGGATCATCTCATAACTCACGTTCTTCCCAGTAAATAACGGTGAGGGTAGTATTCGAGGTGGAAGGTGGACGTTAGCAACCTGAGGGGCGCGTCAGTTTCATGAAATGAAACAGCATAGAATCGCGTACAATACGCCCATATTGATCTCTTCTAACGAGTTGGCAGTGAACTCTACGGCCCTGGATAAGTGATTTGAGCCAAGCGATAGCCTACGGCAGAATACAGTTAGCCGACGAATGGGATGTTTCACAAATGACTGACTTCAGAAGCATAAGGTTGGGGTGGCCGGCCGAAGTGACCCGCCTGAATATACGTGGATCACTCTCATAAACCATCGTAAAAGCCATGACCTGCGGGCCTACCTCAGGCGCATCAACTGCCGAAAGCCTAATATGAATCGTCTTGTTTTGAAGCTCTGGCGCGGGGGTTAGACCAGCATTCGTAGCCAACTTTCGTATATTCGAACCTTTCGACGTATCCGGCACGCGTCGAAACTTGCTCCAAAACGGGCCGGGAGTGTGGTACAGTCGAAAATTATCACCATCCCCAACGCTACAAAGGAGCGCCAAATATTAGCGTATTGCCTTTCTTCCGATTACGTTTTCGTACCACTTGCCTCGTCACAACACCCTTGATCCATCTCCTCTCAGCAAGGACGACGGGCCTCACTGCGTCCGAAGTTGGGAAACGGCGAAAGAAACGTACGTAGACAGAGATGCCAGCAATAGTTAGCACCGAACCTAGAACAGCAGAAGCAAGGACAGGGGTCCACGCCGCTACCCAGGCTTTCTCGACGGGAGGGTCGGCGCTGCCCGCCCTTAGCGTTGGGGCCATAACACGGAGAAAGTGACGAAGCCCGTTCCCACGCTCGTTGACTCTGGTCACCTTTGTGTCAGTTTCTGCGGAATCATCACCATATGTTGCGATCCGTTGCCGAACCCGCAATGCCTAAGTGTGGAGCGGTCCATGTTCACTGTGCTTGATCATATACCTGCTCACACTACACTCCACAACCGCGACGTGTCTAAAAGTCTGACGATTACCCCTTCGTCCTCAAGTCTCCCCTAATAAAACGGCGATCACTCTACTTTAAATCCATCTAGATTCTTGAATTATCAATAACTCGCTAAAATTTTCGAATTGCGGAAAAAAGGAAGCAGGGAGTCCTAGGATAATTCGCGATTTGCTCCTGTCAGACGCGGTGTTAGTCAGAGACTCAGCACTCCCGAGAACTGATGAGATACTGGATCAGTCATCTGTAGCATCTTTGACTTAAAACGCAGCGGGACCTTAGCGAGTATTTCACGAGGCATGGAAATGTTGGGGAAATAGAATTCTTGACAGACTGCAGACCCAGGGGCAAGGACGACTCATATAATTGAGCCGATGGTTCCTCAGAAGACCGACGCACTGCGCGCTCAATCTTGGAGCAGGGACAAGTCCACAGCAGAGGACAGAAAGATGCCAAATCTGGGCAGGTAGCATGCCTGGCTCTAGTTACATTGACAAGGATTCACAGCCTTATTATGATTTCAGGCACGAAATGTATCTGTCAGATGAAGAAGTGACCATACCTGGCGCTCATCATGATATTAATAATGTGAATGGTCACCGCCACCGCAAGCCTCATAATATCGATGTTCACATCATTCTTTGATGCACTTTGCATTTCCCCGTATGGTTGTCAACGCAATGCGGACCTGGGGGTAGACATCATTCGTTAGCTTTGCCCCTCTATTCGCGCGAAATTCCGATCTGCTGGGAATGCGAATGCCACGGACACCGTTCGCATTCGCACTGCAAGTCGATCCTATATATTTTCTCCTACTCGCGAGGGCGAGCCGAACGAAAGGGTGACCTGAGTTCTATGAGTGGAACAGCCCTCATGGTCATATACACGGAACTTATTCTCGGATCCCAAGGATTGTGAAGGTGGAGGGGTCATTCTTCAGAGGCGATTCACTAATTCAAAGTGGCACCGAACCTATCAAACACGAGCAAATAGGACCTCAGCGTTTTTCAGCAACAGCCAGGCCTTCTCCAGACTTCCGGGCTCCCCTACCGGGCCGCCACGGCCCCAAACTGTCCAGGCGAGGGTAGAGGCATTAATCAATCGATCTCCCCACCTTAGATGCTCTCATTTGATGAATGCGCTACTTTGGCGGCTCTTGAGCTTAGCAGTGATACATTACCCATCCGCAAAGCAACTATCCTACAATCATCACCAATCTTTAGCGAGTGGACTATTCGAGCATTCATATCAGTTGCCAACCATCACAACTAACGGAGGTATGCGCCGACTCGGAATGCACCCACCCTCGGCTTCCTGCGTCTTGACTACCACGCCCACGCGCTTCAGTCCTCTGCTATCCGCGTCCGCCATTCTCACCCACTGTTACATCTGTTACACGCCTGCCCGCGGTGTATTTTTTACTGGTTTCGTTAGTTTTTTTTTATCGGATCCTTCTGTTGCTGCTTTGTCTGGCTTCATTCAGTCGCGTTATCCACTGCAAGTATTTCGGTCTTGCTGTTGGTGGAGGTGGTATGACCTTCGGTTACCCACGGCAAGTAGGATCCCAACTATTCGCTTACCAGGCCTAGCCTTTGGCCTTGATTCCTCTGTCAGTTGTAGCTTTATGTCGCCTTTCGATCCCAGAACTCTCGGCGATCGTCGGGGCTGTTGCTTCGTTATTCTCCTTCCGCATGTTCAACCCGTCCGCACACGGGGCCACATGTTAAAAGCAACGGGTTTGAAGGAATCGATCAAACTGGCCTTTCAGTTTTAATAACGGCGCCCGGATCCACAAAAACTAAAGGAGATTTATATTGTTTTCAAACCCATTCGCAGTGCACCCCTGTAGAGGAGAACGGGGTAGGGCTGGAAAGTGGTCCAGCCATGAGAACCCGGCATCGACTTGGCTGATGTCATGTCACTAGACTTCAAGCCAATCAGTCCTCTAGTATGTAATCGGGGGGATTTGATCAGGGAATCAAAAACCCTTACGGAAATTGAATTGAATCTCGGGGATCGGTTTCCGCGTGGGCGGCAGTTTTAGCCACTGCCCCAAGGAGTGAAACACGGAGGCGATCGAGCCTGTGCACTGACGGCCATGCCGAGGATCTCTCGTTCACCCGTTTGGCCGTGAACGTATCCTCATTGCACAATCAATATATGTTCTTTATTAACATTGATACTTATTATCGATATCGTTGCTGATAGCAGAACCTTCAGGGCTCAACAGTGACGTGGCCTGTACGTTCTCACCTACCATAGTGCAAGAACGGCCGCCACCGCTTCGGGGTAAGGGGATGAATAACTGGTGCTGAAGGGACACAGCATCCTTGATGTTATTCAGGAGCTTTTTTGCTTTTGTAATGCCGAGCCACTACTTAATTGACTCATTTTCTGTCCCAAAAATACACATGCATGTTGCTCAATTGAGTTGGTAACCCTGTGCGGATATGTATGTATTAGCGGCACAAGGTGGTTCGCCCGTTCGATTTTACATATATATATATAGCCCAATCGTTGTACCCCCTTTCGTACTACAACCTCAAGTCGTTCGCTCAAAGATGCTGCTGAAATCTGTTACTCTCCTCGCACTCTCTGCCTTTGCATCTGCTATGCCTGTGAAGCGGGCTGCAGTGACAGATTCGGACATCTTCCAGATTGCGTTGACTCTTGAACACCTGGAGAATGCGTTCTAGTATGTGCACAAAACGTGTTCGCCTTGTTTGAGCACGTCAACTCATGCACGTGTGTTTTTTACCCTAGCACTGAGGGCTTGAAGAAGTACGACGCGGCAGCTTTCAGAAAAGCTGGGTTCCCGGACTGGGTACGAGAGAGGATAACCCAAGTGGCGGAACACGAGGCTACACATGTCAAGTCCTTGGAAAAGAAACTCGGTAGCGCTGCCACCCAGCCTTGCACTTACCAGTAAACATTCCTTACCATCCCCACTACGGTTTCTCGTACTTACTCTTCTCATCATTTAGGTTCCCAGACACCGACGCAAAGTCGTTCGTAACTCTCGCTGGGGCACTCGAATGGGGTGGCGCCTCTGCCTACCTTGGTGCGATATCACACCTCACCGACCCAGACGACATCACAGTGGCTGGTTCCATATTGGCCACGGAGGCTCGACAAGCAGCTTGGATTAATTCAGCGGCACTCAAAGGTTTCCCATGGGACGGGAGTTTCAACACCCCTCTTACCGCGGATGAAGTTTTGGGTATCGTTCAAGGGTTCTTCAAGACATGCCCTGCTTCGAACCCTAAGCTCATCGCTGCGCCATTCCCGAGCAAATTGACTGTTGGGAAGGCGGTCTTGGGACACAACGTCGCGGTGACATTTACACCTCCATCTGGGTCCACGCAGCAGTTCTATCTTGCTTTGAGGTCAGGCCTTAAGACGCACGTCAGTCCTATAGTAGGAGGACAAGCCAAACTCCCTGCTCATTTGCAAGGGAATGTGTTCGCTACCGTTGTGGTAAGTCATGATTTCGTCTCGGCATTCTCAAAGTACTCCAAGTAAACGTTTTCTCGTACCTTTAGGACAATCCTAATGTCACCACGGATGCTAATACTGTTGCCGGGACTGCCGTTTTGACCTTCCCTCTCCCAGCGAATGCTCACAATTCCTAATCGCCTCATTACCATTGCTACGTTCTTTCTTCCTGTGAAACTATTTAACTCTTGGAGCGCCCGTTTAAACCCGGGCGGTCCCCACCATTCATTTCTGCGTTTTGTTCATTGGACACATCATATTTATAAGATTCCCCTGTTGTGATAACCCATTTGTTTGTGACCATGAGGACGATTGTTTGTTTACATCTAAAACTATCATGATGTGCTGCGTCGACCGTCAATATTACTGTCATTCGTTTACTGTCATTCATTACATGGCCTGCAGCATATTGCGAAGTTTCCCTTTATTCGCCTAAACTCCTTAATTATGAGATTGCACACCATAGGCCAGTGCCAAGACTCTAACTCCTTCAACTCCTTGCCCATAATGATGTGGAGCGCACCCACTCGCTTTTGACGTACGTTGGGTGACCTTTTGCTACTTCTTTATTGAGGCCATTTTGCTGCCCACGCTGTCCTGCGTCGCGTCAGATGGAAAGACGCTGCTTTCTGCTGCAAGCCCGGATCACGAATATGTCTAGATAATATAGGGAAAAACGTATATGTATTCCAATCGATTCCAGTAGCATGCTTCGAAGTGTCCTTAATCATCTGCAAATCCTGTATACAGCTATGTAGTACTAGAGCATTAGCAACGATCAATCCCACGAGCAACGGACATGCAGGACCAACGTCCCAATTATATATAGAAGGGAAAGCGGAAGCGGTGGCGACGCTCCAGAAGAAGGAATCTTTCCCTGCAAGAATCCTCCCACCGTTAGTAGCTGAAGGGGGGGGGGGGGTTTAGTAATAGATGAGGGTGAATTGGAAGAGGAGAAGAAGAACCCAGGTACGCACATAGTAAGTAATGCACCAATAAGCAACGAGTGATTGTTGAAGCCAACAACAGCCAGATCAGGAAAGTCTTCTAGTTCCGAGGAGACGACGTTTCTATTCAGGGTTTATGCAGTGAGGGTATGCGACAAGTAGCTCACAAGGGCAACCGCAAGAGTTGAGGGAAACAAATGACGGTAATGTTGGCTTCGAACCATAGGTAGAACACCGTAGTGTTCCATGAAAAGCTGGAATGGCTACCGCGAGAAATTTTTTTCGCTTGCTCCGCCTCTCTGCATGTCTGATCTCACAAAGCTAGGATTTACGAAGGCGCGTGGCACGCCGGAAATATAGCATCACCACCAGTTTCGGAAAGGAAGAGTAGAAGGACCGATAATAAGACCCGAGAGCCACGCGAACTCCAACAAGCCCAACGCCAATTCTTGGCTCCGGGTAGCTCATAATCCTCTGATGCGACCGAAAAACAGGTGTCATTACGGCTTGACCCCACGGCGAACGTCGGAAAGAGCTCTGTGACCAAACAGCGAGGACTTCCCGATGGCTGGTCCACAGCGATCTTGCAGCCCTGATATACTCGCAAATCCGATTTTCGTTGGGACACTGAACTTCCGTACAGTCTCACTGTGCAGTTCCCCCTGGTATTACGGCCGGCGCAGGGTTGGCGTGAAGGGGTCAGGGTCCGGCGAGAAGAAAGGTGTGACCGTCATTGGGGTGTCAAGTCAGGGATAAGATCCAACATGTTTCGCCAAAACTACAGTTTTTCGAAGTCGTGATAACGTAATTTTCTATAACCCAACGTATCGGCAGGGGCGAATGTACTCCAAGGTTGACATGGCATGGTTGAAGGTGGTGCCAGGATGAATGTTTATCCACACGTATCATTTGTATTTACACGTATTTATATTCTGAGTTTCCCAACCAGCTGGCGCTTCTTCAGAGCTCCGCCAGGCAAAACCGCATGCGATCACCTTAGCATTTGATGCTAATGTTGTAGCAAATCATGTTGTACGTGCCATCGGATACACATACATTGCGCAACGTGGATGACATCGGGCTTGCCATCTGACACCATAGCCTCGTCGGAGCCCTTCTGCCTTTCCTCTCGTCCATCACCGAGCTGTAGTCATACCCTCTTTGCGCAACAATAGCCGTATGGTTTCTAACAATCAGGTCGGCCCCAGTTGTTCTTCGAGCATACTGTACTCACACAACTTCCGGCCGAACCAGGCACGTGACTAGTCACATGATATAAACTGCCAACCGGCAACTCGTTGTGACGCGTGACACCCGACCGGCAGGGGAAATTTTCCATTTTTGAATGCAAATCCATTCCTGAAATGGAAGTTTTGAATCACTTTGCATAGCCACCTTGCCTCAGCAGAACTGGCGTGACAACCGGACACCCAACCGCCGGGCATCTTTACTACATTACCATAACGGGAAATTCGTTGGCCAAGCTCGCGGGGCATTTATGACAATATCCTTCTCGAGTCCAGCTCCTCTCTAAGTGAGACGAACGCTTCCAAATGTGGTCAATGCACTGTAGGCCGCTACAGCTAGTGGTTCGTACTGCTCACAGTCACGGTCGGTGTAATTGCTCTTGTTTCCCCTATGCCATCTTTGGCCCGAAGCTAACGCTCCGTCGTTTCTGTGACTGAGGCCACTAGTTGGCGCTCAGACCATTTCCGGCTTGGTTCATTCCTATTAGTTAAGGAGTTCATCGCAGCCTCAAGGTGGGCTGTGGTAGGGCAGACTCTGCCCATTGGAATTGGGGGGGGAGTCCGAACCCTGAATTCATAATCGCCCGAATGCCACAGTTTATCTCAACATCGTACGACGCTTGATTCTCGCGTTCAAGGGGCACAAATGCCGAAGTCTTGGGCACCATTATAGCATGGTTTCGCGAGACAGGATTCCTCATTTGATTTGTCTTTCTGTTTATTATATTACCCTTAGCTGCTTCTCAGCGGATATAGAAGCTCAGCATTCCGGGTACAGCTTTTCTGGCTGAACGTCACCGAACGTCAATCAAGGCCTAACCCACTGCATACTTACAACTTACCAACTGCTGGCTCGCTGTTATGCGCCGAGAAAGGTGCCCACCCTCGAAGACTGGTTGAATGACCGAATGCTGACATTTATGAGATGGGTGGCCTACGTTACTTTCTGGGACCGTAAATCCGCTATCTTGTTGCACTCCATTAAGATCCCTGAACCAGAGTCGCTCGGACGAAGATAGCTTGGAGTCACACCAACATGGACAGACTTATGTTTGCTACTGGTGGACGTAGAGGCACCCTTAACAATTCGAACAGCCGAATTTCGGGTCAACGAAGCATCTGGGGCAGTCGAAACAGTGTAGGCTTGGGAGGAAGAGTGGTCTTGAATACTTGTTGGTGCCTGGCGCCTGACACCCAAATACTCTGACTGTGCGCTTTCGGATCTTCAATGACTATACGAACATATGTACGTCTCGTGCAAATCTGGCGGATTTCTTATTGGTGTGTTACACAGTTCATTTACTGATGGATATCAAACGGCCTGTTTTGCTCCGATGATGGTATGGCATACTTGGTGGTATTGACAAGTTGACCAAGCCCCCAACCAGATAAAACATGAAGATCGAGCCGGGCATTGCAGCGAGAATTCACTGCACCTTCATACGTTGTTGTTGAATTTGTTAAGATATACCCGGATGTCCAAGTCGTTGGATATGATCCTAAGTACTACAGGAATCTATGTAGCGATGAAGAGGAATTCACCTGGGCACGATCGTTGGATATCGTACTCTTACGCAAACGAGTTCTTGAGAACAATTACCGGAGCTCCAATATAAACCTCGCTCTTTATAATTTTAGCTGAGGGAGAGCTGCCCGGCACGGCCCGGTTCGTTCAAAAAACCAATATTCAAAAGGAAATGAGAGGTCATCTGGTTCTCATTTTCATGGCTCGGTTTGAACTTTCATTCCTTTCTTGGTGTCCTTGGTGCGCGAGCGCTTTTGTTGTTTGATATTCTTATCGGTCAACGAGGTCTAGCTGCACAGGTAGTTGTCCGAATTTTATTGTCATATTGTCATGATGCATTTCAATGAACCACAAACCATATGACTGAGCGCTATATACATTATCGCCATTCCAACGGCAAGCATCGGATGGATTTTTGACCAGAGTAGAGGGGGTAAGTAAGCACGGGCCAAGCCCCTTGAGCGAGAGACTAACAGTTCAGTATAGCGTTCCACGATCTTCATCCTTGATCTGGCGTCCATATGTATATGTCGCACCGACGACTCATCATCGATCCTACGGGGCATGTCCCCCGTAGTTACTCATAGAAGCTGGCATACAGGAAGGAACGCTTTGAGGTAGTGAAGTCGCCAGCTGCGAACCGATCCAGCTGAGCGGGCACTCTCCCCGAGGAACTGAATTACTGTGCATCAAATTATGCTGCCTGCAGATAAGCACAGAACCCCCTTTATAGATCATAGCGATGTCCAGCAGACTTTGAAATTGACACGCCTTCCGCTACATGACCCTGCGAACTAGTCCATCAATGCATGCCTCAGGTTTCTGATAGCCGGTTAAGTAAATAAGCTGTCCCTTACTTTATCTCCCATCCTAGCCCCTAGCTAGGATTATATACGGAACACGTTGACACACGGTTTTTTTTTTCTGTAAAAAGTGAAACACACACACACATGGCGAAAGCATGGTCTCAGATTCTGGGCGGTTTTGAGTACTAATCCTTTGGGAGGCAGGCTCTTGCAAAATAAAAAATAGCATGTAAGGAAACCAATTGGGCAGGTGGAAAATTCTAATTGGGCAGTTGGAAACCTCCACATGAGAGAGTGTAACTCAATTGAATGAGTCAATGTTATCGGTTGGGCCATTCATCCGCTACAAGGTAATACATAGCCGTTAAGTAATAAATCACAAGCTGTGAGTGACTCCCTACTAGTACATAAGATGGCAAATCCTCAGTTTAGGCAGGTGATATAATAACGGGAAGGGTTAGATTTACATGCGAACAATCCGGAATCCCGTACTCCATGCTTTCGCCATGTTGCACTCTCACATTACCTTGCTTGCGAGGTCAGGCAATTCGCGAGAAAGCGTCCTTTTTCCTCTGCTTTGTTTCTTCATGTTTAAAGCCGTTTTGCCAATGGGGCAAGGTCAGAAAGAAATGCTGCTCGCCCCCAACCCCAACCTCAACCAAGTCTTAATTCAAGTTGTTGCTTGTCTCCAACAAGCTAGGTTTCATACCCCCCCCCCCCCCTCCATCCTGCTTGACATATCCCTGTTCATCTATTCTATCAGCGACTTTCGTTACTCGCCACACCTTACTGTACACGTCTACTTGATTAGCGCCAGGTACGAAGAGTGAGATGCCAACGGTGCCCCGAGTTTGGCCCTTCACAAAACCACTGACGACATATTGATCTCTTCGCAACAGGGCCGGACGGAATTCAAGTGTTTGCACTGACCTCTGGCATGGCGCCTCGTCTCGGTTCTTTTTTTGTTTTTGATGGAACCCCAGCTAGCTTTCACAGACATCTGTTCCTCTTGTTAGAAGCTATGAGGGTTGGACGTAAATCATGCATTCGTCCGGGTCGTTGTCCTCGAATGCGGAATCGGAACTCGCTAGCATCCAGGTTTGTATCATTGCATTCTGGTGAGACCAACGTGACGATGGCTTGTCCCTACAGTCGTTTTGGAACCGTTTTAGATGTTGGAATCCTATTTATAAGGTGTGTCGGAGATTTTCTGTGATTTCCAGTCCATTGATCTACGAGCGACAGAGTGCTGCCGGTTCTCTACCTCCATAATTCAAGTCCGATCGGCCCTCGATCAGACGAAGCCGCAAATCCATCCAGACTAAACCGTGCGGTGTCCTTCATGGTTTGAAAGCGTGATATTTCGGCATTGGCATATGTCCAGTTACCCGGAGTGAGGAAACTGGGGCCATAATTTTCTTGGTAGGCTCTCCTGTGCCTTTTTTTGGGAGGCTCACCCTATATTCTCTGTGCAGGAAACTGAGCGAGATTCTCAAGAACTTCGGAGTTAGAATCCAGTATCCCAAAGAGGTCCTCAGAGATGGAAAGTCTATTATGCTTGAACAACTGATTCGCAAACTTTTCACAGCCATTTCCATTCCTATCGTGTGTGGCAGGACTTAATTCTACCCTCCACCGATGACAATCAACTGTCGGATAACTTTGAACCGTTGCAGCTGGCTCTTACCGAGTCCGGGCAAGGTAATCAAGCGGAGTGTTTAAACACGGGCTTCAAATCATTGCTTTAGACACTCGAGCGTCTTTTATCGTGCCAAGTTCTAGCATGGGAACACGCCTTTGGGCCTGGGTCGCTGGCGTATTGTCGGGGACCTCGCTGTTTGCCTTTAGAAGCTGGCCTATGCTGGTCTGTCGGGCGTATTGAACATCACCCAAGCTCTAGAAAGATCCCCGAAGAATTAGCTGCCGTACTAGGTGGTAACAATGGCTATAATGCGCGACCATGCATCCTATCGAGCAGTGGATGATAGTTTTTCCCATGTGTTCGGTTCAACACATGTGAACCTCATTTGGTGATTATAGCAACTGCGCGCTGACAATAAGGGATTGTTCACACAGATTTCCAGCATGTATCGGTCATACTGTGCTATAAGCAAGTTCTCAGTCTATCCTCTTTCCTCATTCTCATCCCTGCCATTCGGTCGCTCGGCATGCCCAAACGGTAATGAATCATCACTCATCAATCAATCAACCCCTTAGAGCACTGTATTATATCACTGCGGCTGGACATTCCCCGATGCAACTCGGCGGACCCCTTTACGCAGTTTCCTCAGCCTTGATGGAGACAGGTGTGTCCACATGTCGGCAATATGCAGTCTGGATCTGGAGTGCGACGATGGTTTCCCTATTCTCGGTTTGGATTCCATTTGTGTTTTTGCCATCATTTCTCCCGACGGCACGCAAATTGAGTGTGCACTGGAGGACAACTCCCAAATTTACATCTGCTGTGCGGAGGGTCGGCTCAACCTAGTCTGCTACCACCTTTGTGGGTTAACTCGTTGTCATTCAGCCCTCATAGCCTCAGATCGGCTTCCACTTGGGTGACAAGGCTATACACATCTGGATGGCAGCACTGTAAATCCTTATACGGTCACGTAGATGCCGCTGGCGTCCGTAGAGTACTCTCGCAACACAGTCCCGCTGGATTGTTTGTCTGGGATGTGGTCAGTGGTGATAGAAAGCATCGAATCGATCTGGACAGCACAGTATATGTCCCTCTCACTGCAAATGATGGCAGGGGTTCTTCTTGCTGGCAATCCATTGGTGTTCTGTGTCGATGGAACTGGAAAACACGATAATGCAGCATATGCTGTCTTGTTCTCCTCTGCTGGGAACCGGTATCTTCTGATCAGCGGACAAGTCTGTGGTGTGATGAGCGGCACAAAAATGCACACTATCGACGGACAGGTTGGCAAAATCTGTTCTCCAGCATTTGATCATGCCTGGATGGCAACATGTACAACACGAAAACGAGACCCTAAAGCCGAAGAACTAGATGATCATCGTAGATCAAACTATAGTCTTATATCGTGACCTCCTAGGCGCACCACCACTAGAAAATGTTCATCATTTCTAGGATTTCCAGCCCAGACGAAGCAACGTACCGTATAGGCGGAGCACTAGGAGAACTTTGCAATCTTGTTTGTTTGTTACTGGGTAGATTATCAGGAGAATGTCGTGTGGGTGAGCAACAAGTCATGCCTTTCTGCTGATGGAAATTGGACCTGAATTCTCCTCAGCCGAAAGTACATTCCCATAAGAAGCGAATTGAAACCCACCTGTGAACCAATCGGAATCGCCTCTGGAGTCCGAGGAGGTGGTGGCTTGGAATTATGTCAGGCACCATCAGTTAAAGGGCTCGAGGTTTCATGCTCTAGCACTTCACCTTTGACTTAACGGGCTTCAGCGGGACAGAATTCTGTAGCAAAAGTCGGTCACAAAACAGGTACAGTAACTATCCAAACACGAACTGATGCCCATTTGTTGCTCCTGGGCACATACCCCCCACCAGGTTCGTAAACCTGACGATGCTGTTAGTCTGGTGTGAAACTCGCGAAGGGTCTGGTGAGTCCTACATCAGGTTCATAACCACTCATAACATCACGTTTGCTGAGGCAACTGCCCATAGGTTTATTGTCGTTTCAGGCTGCAGTGGGGATATTGAGAGCGCACAAAGTGTTAGCGAGTGCAGATTTCGGGTTGGGGATAATATTGTGATAAGCTCGCGTGACTGGCACGTTTTTGAAACTTGCCTTATAACTGGAGCATCTTACTCGAAATTTTCATATAGAACATCGGATGGATATCATTCAAGCACAAACGTGTCCAGTGAGGCAGTCAGGTCTGCCATAGATGATAGGCGTTTCACGCCAGGAAGGAACAACCTGAATGAAGTGCACAACTGTGCACAACTTGTGTTATTTCTTTGCCCCATCGTCATCACCTCAACAGAAAAATCGATGCCCCAAACATATCTAATCTCTCAAATCTCCTTCACACCTTGATTTTTCGCCCCTTTCTCTTTGATTTCCGACAGTTCGGCATTTGCCGACGGGCACAGACGCGCACTCCGAATCGAAGGTAACCAGAACATGTGGCATGGTGCGCTTTTTAGGCAAGCCTTGTGACCAGTAGCCTTTGCTGTGCAATGCACCTTCTTCATATCCTGTCATTCCGCCAATTCACTGATCTTTCCATATATCTTCCCACCCTTCTCTCCGCCTTCACGTTTATCCCATGCTCCCTCGCCTCTTCACTCCTAATGGTGCGCTATGTTAGTAGTGTATAACCATTCAGAGTCATATTGGGCCCACCACACTTGTGTTGTCGCTTGAACTTGTATCACATTACAACCGTTTTCGAAAAAAACTCGTGAACCCGATTTCACCAAAAATCGGAGCTCTTTGACTGCAAGCTTAACATCTCCACCTACATGTGGTGTATAAGCGCATAAAATCGTGATAACAATTCATCGATTATCTTGTCTCCCTCTCGTGTGGCGGCAGCTTTGGGTAACATTTGGCATGTTGCTTTCATTCATAGTCAGTAAAATTTGGGTCCATGTTCAAGGATCTTGTTTTGGTTCGCACCTGTAGTCTTCGCTTCCGTACGTTTGGGTGCTTCGCCATCGAACAAGGTTGGGCCTCAGCTGCTACCTTGCTTGCAATATCACTTTCCAGCCCGGAATTCCTCAGCGTTTTCCCACCCTGTTTATATTGTTCCTCTTTTTTCCCATCTTCAAGTCTCTCCATTGTTGCGCACAGCAATGTCACGCTGCTCCTTTTCCTGACCTCCCCTTCGACCCAACTGGTACAAACTGGAAAGCATTCTCAGAGGAATTTTTGCTAAGGCTGGAAAGGGATTGGACATCGCTACCATGCAGCAGACCATTGATGCCGCAGTCAACAAACTCACTAACATTATCCAGACAAAAAAGCCACCAGTCCCAACACCCCCGTGCCCTGCTTCTATCCGCGACAAGCAGAAACCCAGCACATTCCTCGAGAACACCGCATCCCTGTCAAGAAGTTCTTCCACCCACAATCTGCATATGTAGCTCTACGCGCCTATCTAGCCAGATGGACTTGCCCAACTGCCTTCTATGCTCAGAGCCTGAATCGGCAGAGCACACTTCTTATTCACCTGCCGTTGCTTCTCCCACGAGCACCCCAAACTTAAGAGGGCTATCCTCCTGGCCTCCGCTGACGATAAATCTATCAACACTTCATTCTGTCTCAGTTGCCCTCCCACCTAGGGGCCATTCCACACACATACCCGGTTCATCCGCGAAACGGAGCACTTCTCCTTGTATGCAATGCGATCTGTACATAGGTGTCTAATTTCTATCATGTCTTTCCTGTTCCTTTCACTTTTCCTACGTTTTCAATCTATGCCCAGACTCCGATTACGTCCACTAGGCACACATGCCCTACCTCTGTCCCTCTTTGTCATGCCACAGGTGCCGCCCACCTTCCACCTTGTGTTATTTCATTCCACTTTGCTTTCCGCACACACTCCGAAACCCGATCCCTCTCATTCTGAGAGGTGAAAGATGGTCTATGCGATCGTCTTCCCACCGCCCACGTGGGAATAAAGGCACCTCAGCATCTGCTGAGTGCCAGCTCACCGAAGCGCCCGGTGCTTCGACTTTCTCTCGGGCTGTCAGATCCACAGCCCCTGCCCTTTCCTCTCGTTCCAAGAGGCCAGTGGCGGTTCCTACGGCCACTTCCCCACCGGTTTTAAGTGGGGAGAAGCGCTTACCAGCCCAGGCTGGGTGCCAGCTCACTGAGCACCCGCGCTCTTTGACCTTTTCCAAGTCAAACTGTCCGGTGGTCCCTACCACTGTTCCTGGGCAACAAGCACAACTAGGAACGACGCAGGCGACTTATGTGCGTAACGCATTTCCTCAGTGACAGTCCCGGACTAGGCAGGACTCCAGCCTCTACACCAAACAAGTCCCGGACCAAGCCTGTCTTTAACCTAATGGGATTATCTATTCCCCAACACAAGTCCCAAATACCATCGGATGGAATTTTGACCAGAGTAAGTAGAGGGGTAAATAAGCACGGGCCAAGCGCCCTTGAGCGAGAAACTAACAGTTCAGTATAGTGTCTCACGATCTCCATCCTTGATCTGGCGCTCACATGTATATGCCCTGCCTGCTAACGAATCTGATCGAGTACTACGAAATATTGTCTCATGCGTCTTACAAACCGCTTCCATCCTGTCGCACCGACGACTCATCATCGACCCGACATGTCCCCTGTAGTTACTCATAGACTCATAGAGCTGGCATCCAGGAAGGGACGCTTGGAGGAAGTGAAGTTGCCAGTTGCGAATCGATCCAGCTGAGCGGGTACTCTCCCTGAGGAACTGAATTACTGTTCCAAATCGTGCTGTCTGCAGATAAGCACAAAAACCCTTTATGTACAGTAAAGAGATAAATCACAGTGATGTCCAGCAGACTTTGAAACTGACGCACCATCCCACATCATGCAACTCTATGACCCCGCGAACCAATGCATGTCTCAGGTTTCCGATAGCTGGTTAAGCTGTTCCTTACTTTATCTCCCATCCCGGCCCCTAGCTAGGATTATATACGGAACACGTTCACGCGCGGTTTTTTTGACGCCAGCTGTAAAAAGTGAAACACACACGAAAGCGTGGTTTCAGATTTTGTGCGGTTTTGAGTGCTAATTCTTTGGGAGACAGGCTCTTGCAAAAATAAAAAATAGCATACATCGACATTGTCATCAACCTGTTGTGTACCAAAAATGTCTCGTGTACTTTGAGTTTCTCACCACACAACAAATAAAGAGAAACTTCATTAGTAATCGGATTGACCTAAAATAGCAATCGTTCAGAGAAAGTCAAAAATGGCTTTGTTATGGTCGAGGAAATTCCCGCTACTTTGTACCGGGTCCTGTAGGAATGGGAAAAATGACAAGGTCCTCTGGAAATACATTGAACGACAACCTTACATATACAGGGCCTAACCTAGCTGTTTCTCTCACCGCCTCTCCCCAGCGATTTTTCTCACTTTCCAGACCGGTGTTGAACGGTCTTGGATGTAAAGTCCATGTTGAGTAGCGGGTTCTGCCGCGTCAGGCGGCGTCGGCTGGGCGGTGTTTGCCCCGATGCAGCGCGGAAGTACAAGTAAACCATAACAAAATCGCCGTTTGTACTTTCTCTCTCCAGGATACTCCTGAGAGTGTATAAATCGGGGATATGGCGCAGATAGTGGATTTCTACAAAGTATTCAGAGGAACTTGCGTGTAACTTCCTACAAATGAAGGTATGGGCAAGTTATACTCATTTCCTCGACCACAACAGAGCCATTTTTGACTTCCTCCTGTTAATTTTTTGAATCGATTGGGATCAACGAGGGTCCTCCAATTCAAAAAAATTTGAATGAGGATAACGCAATCAGGTGTGTCCTAATAAGGTCATGACTATTCATCCAAATCAGGCGACACCCTAATCATGGGTTAAGGCTCGATTTAGGATCTCAATGCGAACGACATCTGCCATCCGGAATCCCAAACCCCATGCTTTCGCCATCACTCTTTGCTTGCAAGGTCAGGCAATTCATGAGAAAGCATCCTTTTTCCCACCCTCTAAATTTCGTTTGATGCATTCCCACCACATATAGTAATACAAATCAACTTCTTTTGATCGGAGAAATCCGCTTGGTATGGCATTGATTAAAGCCGTTCCCTGGGTCCTCTTTCCTAATTAGGAAGTCATTTTGCCAAATGAGGAGGTTAACACAAGGACTTTTCGTCATCCGCCACACCTTACTGTACACGTCTCTACCTGATTAACGCCAGGTGCGAAGAGTGAGACGCCAACAGTGCCCCGAGTTCGGGCCCTCACAACTCTTTCGTAACCTCCGACGACATCTTGATCTCTTCGCAATAGGGTCGGACGGGGTTCGAGTTAAGCAGGTTTTGCTCTGGCCTCTGTCATGGCTCGCTTGCGGGGGTCTCGCCTCGGTTCTCTTTTTTTTGGTGGAACTCCAGTTGGGCTTTCGCAGACCTCTGTTCCTCTTGTTGGAAGCTATAGGGTCGGACGTAGATTATCCATTCGTTTGGATCGTTGTCCTCGAATGCGGAATCTGAACTCGCTATGAGGTCCCTGTCCCCTGCTAATGTGTCCAGGTTCAGCTCTCTTGTATTATTGCATTCTGATTAGACCAACGCGATGATCCGCTCTGGTGACCTGTCCCCACAGTCGTTTTGCAACCGTGTTCGATGTTGAGTCAATGTTTTATCCTATTAATAAGGTGCGTCGGAAATTTGCTGTGATTTCCAGTCCATTGATCTATGAGCGACAGTAAGAGTGCTGGTTCTTTACCTCGATAATTCAAGAGTTCTTTGGTCCCCGATCGGCGCTGGATCGGACGATGCCGCAAATCCATCCAGGCCAAGCCGTGCGGCGTCCTTCATGTTTTCAATCAGAGATCTGGAACTTTCGGTGCTTATGCTGCACGAGGCATCACTCATTGGACCTGTGGTCTTGGCCTGTTACAGATTATGGAGCCTCAGTGATATCGAGAGCATGCAGGATCTAGCGTTTTGTTTGAAAATGATGCTGAGTAGCTGTGTCAGCAATGACATGCGTCCAAACGAGGAAACTAGGGCCATAGGCTCTCCCGTGCCTTTTTGGGAGGCTCAGCCTATATTCCCTGTGCAAGGAACTGAGCGAGATTCTCAAGAGCTTGGGAGTTAGAATCCGGTGAACCCCAAGAGAACCAAAGAGAACCTCGGAGATGGAAAGCTTATCATGCTTGAACAGCTGCTTCGCAAACTTTTCACAGCCAAGTCGAGTGGGTTTCCATTCCTATCGTGTGTGGCGGGACTCAAGCTTCTTAATTCCACCCTCCACTGATGACACGGATAACTTTGAGCCGTTGCAGCTGGCTCTTACCGAGTCCGATCAAGGTGCAATGGAGTTATCAGGCGGAGTGTTTAACACGGGCTTCGAAGTATTTTAGACACTCGAGCATCTTTTTTCGTGCCAAATTCTGGCATGGGAACACGCCTTTGTGCCGAACAAAGATATCATCGGACTTGAGGCCTAGGTTGCTGGCGCATTGTCGGAGAGCTCTCTGTTTGCCTGTAGAAGCTGATCCATGCTGATCTGTCCGGCGTATTGCGGGGGTGCGAACATCATCAAACCTCTAGAAAGATATCCCCAAGGATTGGCTGCCGCACTGGGTAACGATGGCTATAATGCGCGAGCATGTATCCTATCGAGCACTGGATGGTAATTTTCCCAATATGTTCAGTTTGACACGCGAACCTCATTCCGTGATTATCGCAACCGCGCGTTGAAAAAGGAATTACTCACACGAATTTCCAGCATGTATCGGTTCTATAAGCAACTTCTCAGTCAATCCTCTTTCTTCATTCTCAGTGGCTCCTTGCCATTCGGTCGCTCGGCATGCCCAAACGGTGATGGATCATCACTCATCAATCAACCAGCCCCTTATAGCGCTGTATTACATCACTGCGGCTGGACATTCCCAGCACCCGTTCCCCGATGCAACTCCGCGGACCCCCTACCTAGTTTCCTCAGTCGCATTTTCCCTTGGAGTGTCCACATGCAGGCAAAATGCAGTCTGGATCTGGAGTGCGACGACGGGTTTCCTACCACATATTCCCCCATTTGTGTTTTTACCATCATTTCTCCCGACGGCACGCAAATTGAGTGTGCACCGGAGGACAACTCCCAAATTTACATCTGCCGCGCAGAGGGTCGGCCCAACCTAGTCTGCCACCGCCTTCGTGGGCTAACTCGTTGTCATTCAGCCCTTATAGCCTCAGATCGGCTTCCGCTTGGATGACAAGACTATACGCATCTGGAGCTGCCCGGATGGCAGCACTGTAAATCCTTATATGGCCACACAGATGCCGCTGGCGTCCGTAGACTGCTCTCACAGTCCCGCTGGATCGTCCGGGATGTGATCAGTGGTGATAAACAGCATCGAACCGATCTGGACAGCGCAGTATATGTCCCGTTCACTGCTGCTATCCTTCTTGCTGGCAATCCATCGGTGTTTTGCGTGTGGTTGGGAAGGAAGAAGCTCAAATTATTAGAAAGCGCGATGACGCAGCATATGCTGTCTCGTTCTCCTCTGCCGGGAACCGGTAGCTTCTGATCAGCGGACAAGTCTGTGATGCGATGAGCGGCACATATATGCGCTCTATCGACGGACAAGTTGGCAAGATCCATTCTGCAGCATTAGATCATGCCCGGACGGCAACATGTACAACACGAAAATGAGACTTTAAAGCCGAAGAATTGGATGACCATCGTAGATCAAGCTATAGTCTTATGTCGTGACCTTCCACCACTAGAAAATGTTCATCATTTTCCGGAATTTCCAGCCCAGACGAAGCAACGTACCGTATAGGCGGAGCACTAGGAGAACTTTGCAATCTTATTCGTTTGTCACTGGGTGGATTATCAGGAGAATGTCGTGTGGGTAAGTCATGCCTTTCTGCCGATGGAAATTGGACCTGAATTCTCCTCAGCCGAAAGTACATCCCCATAAGAGGCGAGTTGAAACGCACCCGTGAACCAATCGGAATCACCTCTGGAGTCCGAGGAGGTGGTGGCTTGGAATTATGTCAGGCCCCGTCAGTTAAAATCGAGGTTTCATGCTCTGGCACTTCACTTTTGACTTAACGGGCTTCAACGGGACAGAATTCTGTGGCAAGAGTCGGTCACAAGACGGGTGCAGTAATTATCCAAACACGAACTGATGCCCGTTTGTTGCTCCTGGGTACATACCCCCCACCAGGTTCGTAAACCTTATTGTGTGACGATGCTGTTAGTCTGGTGTGAAACTCGCGAAGGGTCTGGTGAGTCCTACATCACGTTCATATCCGCTCATAACATCATGTTTGCTGAGGCAACTACCCATAGGTTTATTGTCGTTGCAGGCCGCAGTGGAAATATATATTGAGAGCGCGCAAAGTGTTGGCGAGTGCAGATTTCGGGTTGGGGATATTGTGATGCAGTTTGCGGGAGTTCGCGTGACTGGCACGTTTTCGAAATTCGTCTTACAACTGGAACATCTTACTCGAAATTTTCATAGAGAACATCGGATGGATATCATACAAGCACAAATGTGTCCAGTGAGGCAGTCAGGTCTGCCATAGATGATAGGCGAATCACGCCAGGAAGGAACAACCTGAGTGAAGTGCACAACTGTGCACAACTTGTGTTATTTCTTCGCCCCATCGTCATCACCTCAACTCCATCACAGAAAACTCGATGCCCCGAACACACCTAATCTCTCGAATCTCCTTCACACCTTGATTTTCGCCCCTTTCTCGACAGTTCGGCATATGCCGATATGCATAGAAACGAAGGTAACCAGAACAGGAACTGTGGCATGGGTGCGCTTTTTGAGCGAGCCCCGCGACTAGTAGCTTTCGCTGTGCGATGCACTTTCATCATATCCCGTCATTCCGCCAATTCGCCGATCTTTCCACCACCCGCCCTTCTCTCCGCCATCACGAATATCCTTAATCCCGACGCTCCCTCGCCTCTTCGCTACTACTGGCGCGTTACGTTAGCAGTGTATAACCATTCAGAGTCAAATCGGGCTCACCACACTTGTGTTGTCGCTTGAACTTGTATCACATTACAACCATTTTCAAAACCAAAAAAAAACAATTCGTGAACCCAATTTCGGAGCTCGTTGACTGCAAGCTTAACGGTACCGTCCCCGCCTACATGTGGTGTATAAGCGCCTAAACTCGTTATGACAATCCATTGATCATCTTGTCTCCCTCTCGTATGGC